TAAGTTAGTTCTAAAGAAATTAATTAAAATTAATCGTATAATTACATTTCCCGGTTTTTGTGGGAGAAAAATGATGGCGCAAAATTCTATAAATCGGACTTTAGAGCAATTTGGGTGCTAAATTTTGGAAGGAAAAACTTTGAAGGAAATTCTTTTTTATTCTTCTACAAGAATATATCTCATTGAGTGCAAGAAAACTTAAAACGGTATTATTATCGCACGTATTGATAGAAAAACAAGCCTGTTTAATTGGTCTACGGTACGGACAAAAAAACTTAACTTCCAGCGATAAAAGAGGCCAAAAAATTTTTTCTGTTGAAAAAGAAGATTGACCACTATTAAAATCGACTTTCCAAGAGTATGAGGACTTCAGAAAACATCCTGAAGTCTTGAAATAACTAAAGTCACTTTTTTACAAAACGATGGCTCCAAGAGCAAAACTTATTTGATTCTACTCTAGAACTCCGTTTCTACGAAATTTTGAGGTTCCAAAAGTGGTTTCATTGGTTTCTTCGTGAAATTTTCTTCCTCAAACACCCCTCAAAGTTTAAAATGTGGCGAAATAAACGTAAACATTTGAAGTTTTATTCAAAAATTTCATATCCGACTTCTCTAATCGACTCGATCCACTATGCGCCGCCACCGACCAGCAGGCTGCTATCTTTCGATTCCTCTGATCCTCGACGATTTGGCAACATGGCAGTGTTATCTAGCTGACACCGAGACATACCGAGCATGGATACATACGGCTGGCTGGACCCTTTCATGCCAAGACTCTGTTATCAATCATTCCTTCAACACTAACCACACATTACTCCGCAGCGCAGCGCGGCGCGGCGCGGCGGCAACTCTAACCCTCATTTTATCATCCATTTATGCACATCAGTTTCGTGGAGACTGGATCGCCGGGACTACGCTAAAAATTCCAGCGAACAAATGAATTCGCGATACCCTGAATCCACGTTGGAACAAACGTTCCTCTTTTTACCAAGCCTGCAGTGATGCACTCTTGGCGCATCAAGCTTGGATCATCCCCAAACTTCAAAATTCATTGTGTCTCACTACCGGTATCTGCTTATTCTTTTATTTTCCTCACGTTTCAGAATGAAGACCTCTCGAAACTCCCGAACGATGTTATTAACATAATTGACACTATGGGTTTCTTGGAAGTCAGTGATACGCAGCAGGTAAAACTACTCATGCATGCAATTGCATTTTGATCGATGAATTTTTTTTTATCATTTCTAGCTTGCCGTTTTAGCAATGATCCTTAAAAAAGTTTGATTTTAAAACTATTCTAAATAACGAGAAAAAAAAAAAAATCTGCTTGTGAAGAAAGCATGAGACAATTTCATTGGATGTGTTTGTAAACATTGTGTCAAATCGTGAGTTAATTCGAGAAAAGTTTGCATGGAAATGTTGTCGAATTCTGAAAACTTACTGTTTACATTGATGCTAAACTTAAAGCAATCGTGCAGTGGTGGTTATTAGCAATGACACTACCGAGGCGTTTACCTCAATTTGCAACATAGCCGCAGCAGATTCCTTGTCTCATTTTACTTTGTAAAGAATGATTGATTTTTAAAAAATTTCTCAAAATTTTTCTTTGAGGAGGAATACTTATTTCCTGAAAATTTCATTTAAAAAGGCAAAGTAACACTTCCTTCTAGGTTTGGCTTATTCCGTTAATCTGAAATTGTATTAAATCATATCCATATCAATCGACTCCTTCTCAAGAAAAAAACGCACCAAAAAAATTTCAACCCAAAATTTCAATACCCAGAGGTTGCTCAAGGGTCTCAAAGTTGACTATTTTTACCCAATTGAGTAAAAAAAAGGCCATATTTACGAATGTTTCGGCTAGTAATGAAAATTAATAGTTAGCATTTTTTTCAGTCCATGAGATTGTTAACCTGAAAATTCGAAAATATTGAAGAAATTTTACTAAATTGTGCAAAAATCTTCAACTTTGAGGCCTTTGAGCAACTCTAGTCTAAACATTCAAATTTTCTGCAGAAACTATTTTCAGTATGTTTTTTCTTGAAATGGAACTAACTGAAGATGCTTTGTCATAAAATGGGCCTGTTGCAAACTTTTGCTAGAGCAAAGATAAGAGTTGTTCCCTACAGATAACGTCTCAAAAATCATGATGAGCGGATCGGCAAACTCTGGAATGCACTCCTAACTTCACAATCTGCATAAGAAGTTTGCATTTTTTTAAGATTCTCACTTCAAAAAGGATACTACAGCACAGGTAAACATTTCATTAGAGGAGTCGTCCCTTTCAATTCCTGCTCAACATGGCAGACGCTTCCGTGCGCAAGTTGGGGAGAGAACGAGGTCAATCAAGGATATCTAACAACGCGAGAAAAATGTGAATGTAAACACGCCCACTGTTATCAGGTGGTTAAAAGCATCATCCTATCACATGTGTTTTGGCGGATTGACGTCGGCTATGTTGAATATCGCGTAGTATCCTTGTGAGCAGGGGTTGGATGGAATGACTCCCCTAACGAAATGTCCATCTGTGCCATGGTATCGTTTTTGAAGCGGGAAGCTCGAAAAAGCGCAAATTTCTTACGCTAATTGTTAAGTATGGAGTGCATTTCAGACTCTGCCGATGCCCTCATCATGATTTTTGAGACACATTCTATGAGTAAAAACTCTTATTTTTGCTCCAGCCAGACCTATTTCAGACTTGGGTCTAATGAACAGCACCCGAACTCTCTTTGACAAAATTTCATTGAAGGGTTGGAATTTTTTGGAACACTGCAGTTTTTGGCGCTTTCGGATTTTCACTTTCAGTATGCATTATTTAAAATTCCTAATGTTTGTGAAACAATTTTTCATCCTTCTTGCAAAGGAACGAATCTTGTCCGTGCTGTCTCAGTATTTCTCAAAGATTTCATTTTTTTTAATGTGAGAACTGTCGCACGACTTCGTGTGAACCTCTTTTTGTCTTTTCACAAAAATTTTAAGCGAAATCACTCAGAATTTCAGGCAAATTCAAGTGACAGTTCCTCAAGAAAAAAATCAAATATTAGCAAGAAATACTACAACAAAGCAATCAAGATGCGTCCCTCCTTGCAGTAAACTACAAATTACATAAAGTTTACCAATTATAACCAGTATTAAATTTCGTATATATGTACAAACGATTTCTTACTTAAAAATGTTGAGATTTTCGGAAGTATTCATTGCTTTGAACTTATGATTTTGTTTAACAAAATATTTACTAATCATTGCCATTGGGGTAGGCCTGAAAATAATGTCTGTTAAGTCTGACCAATGCTTGTTGTTTTCGCTATGTAGCTGTAGCAAGGCTAATTGGTAAAGGAATTAATTTGAGCAGCATCTCCGTACATAGTAACATTACTGGGTAGCCTTGGGAATTCAGCTCATTATTCACTCATGCAGCACCTGCACTCCCCATAGTTATAGCTAAACAAAGAAATTTCTTTTTTTCATTGCAATTTATTTAGCAATTATCAATATTAAATTGAAAAGATAATTTTGCAGCTTTTAATAAGAATCAACCATGACCTGTGGTAAAGCTGCATTATTACTTTTACTTTTTTTTACACAGCTCATAGATATATCAGAATTGTTTGAACCATTTATTTTCTGTCAACAAACTGTCTTGTCTCCAATAATATCTGCATTAGATTGAGTAATATGTAGTTATGAGGGTATAATTCTTGATTTTTCATTCTCAAATACTACCTAGAGATTGGAATTGATCATGGACACGGGTCTAGTTTAGTAAGGATCAGTGTGGTGTGATTTATATAGTTTTTAATTTTTTGGTTTTCTAAATTCAAGTATGAATTTACACCTTGAGCCAGTGTTGTGCTGTAACCACTCCTCTCTCTGAATCTTAACTTTACTTTTAAGAAAACTATCATTTCGCCTTTAACAAGTGGCATATCATCTTTGAATTTAAGAATAGAACATCTCTACTCAGATTTTGTCAAATCTGCTAAACCTCTTTATTTTTCTTCTCGTGATAACATTTTAGAGAGACTGAATGATGTATTTTTTCCTCATCTTAATTATCTGAGAAGAAAAATAATGTAGGCACCAATGTTTTTCTGATTTTAAAGTAAAAAAATTATCAGCGGATCTCCATTCAATGATTCACCACTTTTATTCTCTTATGTTCAAATTTTCTTAGGTATTTTCCGAGTTGATTTACAGTCTTTCCCTAGAGACCTGATGAGAGTTATTTTCCTTTTCTATTTTAGATTTCATATCAAGACCCTGGCTCTTCACCTGTTTCTTACGTAGAAAAGTTGGCTGGTCTTGCCGAAAAACTTAAATATCCCGATCCGTCCTATAAAACGCTTTCCAGATATTGTAAAACAGAAAGAAAAATTTTGTATGCAACTGTGGTAACGGTGAGCATGCTGGATTTCATTTTCATCAACACTGTCGTTGCTTTATCACCTGCTATTATTGTTACTTCTCTTATGTTGTCCTTTCTAATCTTTTTCATCTTGCCACCCACCAACTAAGATGCTTCTCTTTTCAAAGTTCTTTCTTTATTTTTCTTCTTCATACATCTAATTAATGTTGAATTGAGTATTGAATTTCTATTTTAGATGTCGATGGCTGAGGAACAGTACCATCTATCTGTAAACTGACGATTTTGCAGGACAAAGAAGTAACTTGTCAATTTTTATAATACAGTGGACTCTCGATAATTCGAACCTCGATAATTCGAAAACCTCGTTAATTCGAAGGAAAGTCCGTTTCCCTAGGAAATCTCTCGATAATTCGAAGAAAATCAATGTATTTTTCTCCCCTCATTATTTCGAAAGGGAAGTAAATATGGTCCTCCCTCTGTAATTCGAAATAAGGCGGTACATTCCCTCTACAATTCGAAGTCACCTGTTTATGTACCTGGGTGTCTGAAAGAGCTGATAGGATTGTCAAAATGTAAACATGTAATTAATAATTTTAGATTAAATATAAATAATTAATACTTACTAATAACTTAGTGTAATTTTCACCTCCGTAAAGAAATAAACTGATATATTTGGTTCCTTTTGACATAAATCCGTCCATTTGGCTCTCTACATTCGAACCTCTCTAATTCGAAATCCCTCCGCATGAATCTCTTTAATTCGAACTCTCTTTATTTCGAAACCTCGCTAATTCGAAGAAAAAACCGATTCCCTTCAATTTCGAATTATCGAGAGTCCACTGTATTGGGGTTAGATTTGCAATATTTTTAACATTAAAGCATCATTACAGTGCTCCAATGCGGAATTGGAAAAAACTAAAAGCATCAGCTTGTGTATTTTATACTGTAGAATGCAGCATGCAATGTTGCAGAATGCAACTCATTTTCGTCTAAAGTATCATGCAGTATTGTTCCTTAGCCATCGACATAAGTATATCAACAACTTACATGATCCATTAAGCTAGCTATTGTTGAAGTTTTTCCAGTTTTGTTGAGGTCTTTATTTTTTGACTGACTCTGAAAACTGATACAACCTTAAAAAAATTACTTTACTGTTTTTGTACATTGAGATCCATTTTGCAGTGAATGTGTTAGCAGTATTTATGCACCATTGTACACATTGTCCCGTGTTACATAGGGAAAAGTTTTAAGCTCAGTTTCAGAATTTTCCGAAACATGTTTAAGATTTTTATCATTTAGTCAAGTCAAATTTCTGGCCAGGTTTTATTACCAGTTTCTTGTTTTATATATTTTCAAACCTTTCCACTCAAAAATACTCACGTACAAGAGGAAGGTTATTGTTTTTTTTTTTTTTTTTTTTTTTTTTTTTTTTTTTTTTTTTTTTTTTTTTTTGCTGAAGAAGCACTAGCCAAGTCTATTTCTTTAAAATAATAAAATACCCGATAATTTTATAGTTGGAAGCTGACAAAAAGTACTCAAGTACCCCAGAAGAATACTCATCGCCAGCAGAGGCACAAGAAGCTGCCGCAAAGGGTGCATATTTAGATTTGACCAAGAAGTCACAGATGCCAGTGAAAAAATTGAGGCCAGTGTCAACTGCATCATCCTTTGTTTTGGGCACACGGATAGGCCATGTAAGTTTAATTTCTCTTTTTAAACCTTAAACCATGGAACCTTTTTCTTCTCTGGAGTAGGAGTATCTAAATACTGTTTTACAATCTCTTTAACCTTAAACCATGAAACCTTTTTCTTCTCTGGAGTAGGAGTATCTAAATACTGTTTTACAATCTCTTTATAGTCATTTAATTCTTCCGAGTGCTGCACATATCAACTCTTGTTGGAGGACAGCGGAAAATGAGGGATATTTACCTTGAAGGGAATATATATAATTCAAGCTTATACTTAATGAATGTGGACGTGTCTAAAAACGATAAAATTAATTTCATTGCAAAGTCCACATCTAAAATTGGTGTTAAACTATCAGCATTTGGAAGGAACATGTCCCGGAAATTTTCCTCATCGAAAATGACAACAGTCTCTGAACAGTTGGCTGACAAATCCACCAACAACAATTACAAAGAAAGTAAATGTGATGATGGGGCATTGCATCAAAACTCGATCGTAACTGAGTCTTTGATGAGTCACGTCTCCTTCAGGTACTCTTTCTGGGCAAACCGTCTCCATTAGATGTAGTAATGCTCTGAAAAGGCAACTTCCATTCCCAGGCATTTTTTCGACGTGCACACTTCCCGCGTTCACTGATACTAGTTCTTCCATTATTGCTGACGCTTTTCCACTAAAAACACACTTTCCTTTCAGTTCCTCTTTAGTAGAAAGGCAGTAAATCTTCCTTTAACTTATTTTACTCTCCAGAAGCTTCTAAGCTTTCACAGACTACCACCATACAAACAACTTACTGACAGAAGAAAGCGCATCTATTAGTCACTACAAGCTCAGCAAAGAAAAGAATAAGAGCAAAAAAAAAATAAATAAATAAATAAATAAATAAAACAGGGGGTGGCAGCCTGGACTGCGAGCTTTGCAACAACCCAAGTATGAAACTAACATACAGCAAAACCAGCAACTAACAGTATAGGGGAAAAAAATAAATAAATAATAATTAATCTAATAGCAAACCTAGACGGTGCAAAAAGCAAGCATTTGTCACGATAGGAGTTTAATGGTAGCAGGAAGTCTGGGTTGTGCTTGATACCTATGTTTAGATAGCAAGTTAGATGGTGCAAATTGTGCTTTGTGCGATAGGGGTTTAATGGTAGTAGAGAGTCAGGGTTGTGCTTTGATTTTTTCATAAATTGATCGCGGCCCGGCTTGTTAGGGCGTGAACCGCTGAAATCTGGTTTCATAAGCTCCAACTCCTAAATGAGGCAAGAGAGACTTACTACTTATAGGTGGGGCAGGGTCTTGTATCATGCAACACCAAAACAACTACTACCAAATCAAGCAGTCGTTTAAGCACTACACAACCCATCTGGAGACCACACGAAAAGGCACTCAGAATGAAAGCTTTCCATGGCGAAGCTTTCAAATCCCACCCAACAGTAGATGGAACAAATTATGACAAAAAATTAAAATTTTGGAGGTTAGAGAGCATGTAGTGATATTTTTTGCTATGTCCTTACAGTTGTTGGAAGGCCAAAATCATGGGATCTGGTCGGACGAAGTTGCAGCAATGTACATAAAAAGGTTCCAGGAAGGCCTCCCTGATAATTGGGTCAAGCTAGTCCAAGATTCTTCAGAAGTAGAAGTAATCCATGTTGGAGGCAGATCCATAATTACTCCTAAGACTGCTGTAAGTTAAAGCAAAAAAAGTTAATTTTCAACGTCCAGGTTAAGGCCCACCAGAGAAAATTTTCAAGTAAAGCAAGGATGCAAACCGCTCTAGGCCTCTGCGTTTTTCTGCAACTTTCTGGGTTTCTGCAAAAAAGGAAACACAACTTGCTGATCAAAATTTTGTTAACCTTGTTGCTTATTTTTGGGTGTTTGTCAAGAGTTGAAAATCTGAAAACCACCGAACAAAAAAAAAGAACAAAAATCTCAGCTTCCACAAGTTCTAGGGCACTTCCATAATTTGATCTCAACCATTTGCACCCCTGAAGCAGAGAACCTTAAAAACAATTTTTCAGTCCTGAGGAGTTCCTTTTATCTTTGCAAGAAATACATAGATGATACTCTCAGGACTGACTGATGCAGACACTAGAGGTGTTTGTGCACATTGTCAGGTTGAATTTTCAAACATTTTCTCAAGAAGTTAGTTTTTTTACTGATCTAATGGGATGTTCGTGACCTCATCTGAAGCAACGATGACAGCCAGAGAAGTGATGCTGAGCCAGACAAGGTTAAAGTTATGACATTTTCCCCTTTTTTCAGCTCTTCAATATTCCTATCTACTTCTGTAATTTTCTTTATTACTGCATCAGAGATAATCCAAAAAAATTCTCTTAACATGCGCCAATCTTTTGGAAAGTTGCATTTTCCTTGATAGATCCTGTTTTTCTGAGAAAACTTTAATTTTTTTATAAAATCTTAGGGAGGTGGGAAAGAACGAATAGCATTTTCAGATTCAGCGCTATAAGTCCTTCCCTTAACACCTTCCCTGATCCTTACCTCATCTTAGCTGTAGTCCTACGCTATCATTTTTAATGGCGATCGCTAGCTTTTTGCTTCTTTGGTTGCATATCTGCAAGTTTTTCTGGCCTGGGAAAAAGCAAATGCATATAATTTATATTAGAAATGTATCAACGAATTTGTTTTCATTTTTTGCAGAGTTCCTCCCCTCCATTCCCTTCACCGCCACCATTGGAGCTGCCAGAGAAACCACACTGGGATATATTTGTCACATTACCTCTTTCAACAAAAGAAGTATGGGTCAGACTAATTGGAGATGATTATTCTGTAAGTACATATGCTCCATGCATAATATACTCCCTCCTTCATCTTAGATTTTATCCCTCTATGGCACAAATTAATTTTGGATCTTGGATTTTGAGGGACACAAATCCATGTTTCAGTTTCAGGGTGTCTACCAGTCCGGAAAGTCCTGAAAAAGTACGCATTTTTTAAGGTCGCCTCGTAGGTACCTTAGAAGTACGTAAAGCTCGCGGAAGGTCCGTAATTTTTTGCATTTTACGCTGCGCGTTCAGTTCGATCGCCTGATAGTTATGCAACCCGCTGTGCGTTGTCTGTCAGGCGTATTAGTGCAATGTCAGTCCGTATGAGCGCGGTTGTTGTAGAGGAGCGGTATGAGGCATTTCCCTAGATTTGACGGAAACAGCCGAATAGGCCACAGGAATAGCCGAAGTAAAGCGCTCGGCAGTGCCAAAATCGAAGAATTGCGATACATATCGAAAAGATACTTAAAAGGTACTTAATTTTTCCCCAAGGTGAGGTACTTAAATTTTTCCTCAAGAACCTAAAAAGTACTGGAAAAGTACTTCTTTTATTTTTGTGGACCTCAGTAGACACCCTGAGTTTTCGTTGTTGTTTTTTTCTTAAACTTAAAAGTTTTTAGTAATTAGTCTTTTGTGAAAGAAAGCACTGATGAAAATTTGCTAAATCATGCCAAAGCGGAAAAATTCAAATCTTGTAAAACCACAAAATGCATTATTACAAACAAGTTACATCGTGCCATAGAGGGTTACAGTTTGACCTGTAGAGATGCGAATCAAAGATAAGAAAGCTGCTAATTCTGAAATCTAAAGTGTTCAAAATGGATTAGTGTGGACAAAGAGCCAGTAAAGTAAAATTATTATTCTTCATCATCCATGGTTTTCGGCCCAATAATATCATCAAACTTTGCAGAAGAAATGCCAAGGATGAAAATGCATCGTTAGGCACTGTTCTTAAAACATGGTACCTGTTATTTTCCCCAATTTATGTGTGATGTCAATTTTTGGCCTGAACAAGTACTTGAAGTATTCCTGGAATGGTACCAGATTCAACATTAATGCCTAAAATGAGAACAGGAGAAAGTTAACAGTTCCACCCTCAAAATTTTTGAAATAGCAGCCATCTTAACTTGAATGTGTCTCTAATTAAACTGTATAAATTATAGGCACAGGCGTACACCCAGAGTCAACATAACTCTGTAATTTTAGTATACATTTTTATACATAAAAAAAATATTAAAAAAGGGAAAAAAAGAAGAAAACCAAACCGCATTAAACAACATTGCTAACTGAAAAATTTGAATCAGTCATTCTCAAAAAGACTGAAGCGCCCTAAAACCTAAAATTGTGTTTTTGGTGGTTCAATTTTGCTTCGATGTAGATGCTCTTTTTGCTAAGGGACAACCAGAAAAACAATCTTTTAAAGCCTAAGAAACAGCAGGAAAGTCCAGTTGTTCTCAAAAAGACTTAAGTGCCAAAGTGCTGCACAGTACCTACTTACCTTGATTTGATCCGATTTGAATCCCTCAAGCAGTTATCTTGATTTTCAAGAATAAGCGAGTAAATATTTTCTTGCCAAATACACTTCTGATTTTGAGAATCTAGTTAATTTTTGCATTCGTAAGCATAGCTATCATCAATGATTTAATCATCAGTAAGTAAGTAATCAGTGTATTTTATGCAGAGAAACTGTAAATGAATGTTTTCGTACATTTTACTGCTTGAAATTCTAAAGATTTAAGAGAGGAAAATATGTTGAAATACTTCTGTTAAGTTTCGGAAAGGCTCAAGTGCCAATTTTTTTTTTTAAACTTTTAGGAAAACTTCTGAAACAACAACATTTCGATTTTAAATCCCAATCTTCTGACACATTCATTTTTGTGACCTCCAAGATTTAGAACGGGTCTATTATAATGGTTTCCACGGTTTTTCGTGAATTCTCATTTCTTGCACCTAAATCTTTTAGAGAATGACCGATTCAATTCTTTTTGCAATTTAAATATCGTGCAATCCTCGTCGAGCATTTAGATATCCCTGTGGCGTTGTGTCTAGCTTACAAGGGCAATTTGAGAAACTTTAAGTAACTGCATGCAAACTTTGGGCTGAACATTTTTTAATCCTGCTCTTAGAGCTTTTATTATTTTTGCAAAGTTTGACCTCATTTCAAGTGCCTTTGGCAACACAGGGATGAATACGTCAAAACGTATTGGCAGAAAATGTGACAAGGATGTAAAGGAGTGGTTATAAACATGTAACGCTCCTTTTTTGACACCCTTCCCCCTTGTAACGCTTTTGTGACGTAGGTCTCTTTCCTTCAACACGTCAAAAGAAAGTGGCCCTCTCCCCCGGCCCTAGAGCGGAGAGCGTTACCTAATTTATGACTCTCTAAGAATGCTGATGTATAATTAAAGCTCAAGCATCCCTGTCAATTGTTGATGGGGGAAAAATGGAATTAGTAATGGATGTTTGTAATAAAGAAAAAAGGTATGCATTTTTGTGGGCTTTACGATCTTGGATTGTTAAGAGCCCAGAATTAGTAATTAACTTACACAACATTCTTTTTTTCTTTCTTTTTTTTAGGATAAATATGATGATTTATTGGATGAAATGCTTCTTTCATATCAATCTCAGCCAGAGGAAAATTATGTCAAGAACCCAGATGTTGGAAATTACTACACCGTAAATATTGATGATAACTGGTTTCGAGTAAAGCTGCTTGGCATAGAGAATGGTTTATACAAGTGCCATTTAATCGACAATGGAGATATAGAAACATTTAGTCCTCAGAGTTTATTCACTCTTGATCCGGTTTTCCTGAAATTTCCTGCTCAGGTACTTGGTGTGTCTCCTCTAATTTATTGGGAACTCTCAGTTGTTAGATACGATTTATTATAGCATTTAAATCATATTTTCTCATCTCAGTATTGATATGCATACAGGTTGTACACCCAACTAGAGCTCACAGTGTTGATGTCAAAACTTTCATCACAGCTTTTGTTTATTGTTTTAGTTTTTAGCAATTTCCTACTCCTAAATTATTTTCAATAGTTATCTTATAGGTGTTTTTGCTGCAACATATTGAGCCCAATACTGCAACAAAACCTTGCTACCAGGTGATGGGTCTGTGGTAAGAAATTTTTACACAGGGGTGCAGAATCTTCCAAACCTCCACATTTTCCCTCCTTCCACATTTTTGGGGCTTTTCCACATTTTCTTGATCCCATGATCGGGCATTTTCTGCACTCCTGCTTTTGCAGGTTGGGTTGTATCATAATTTTTCTAAGGTAATACCTTGGTAAATAACCAAGAAGTTAATGAGAAAGTTCAACAAATCATTTCTAAGGGGGAAAAAAGCTAATCAAAATCTGACTGATCAAAAGTTGACCGTTGAGTTGATATATTGTAGCAAGGCCATGCCTGAAAATGAGTTCAGCCAACCGGCAAAAACGCTGTTTCCCCCATCTGGCTATGTCATCCGTGCCTGCCAAAAATATTGTTTCAAATGGGTCCTATCTTTGGTAGTTTCAAAACGTGGAGTTTTTTTTGGCCATTTAGGGTTTACAAAAATCTGAAAAAATTCCTAGGAGCTAAATTTACTCTGTACTTTCAGAGAGTAAATTAACACATTGATTATATGGGGTTAGGATACCCTTCTGGCTGATCAAGTTCAATATTTTTGAGGGTTGTGTAAAAATGATAATATCTCTTGAGAGACTTCGAATATTGCTTGTATGATATTCCCTCCTAAATCTTTATCGTGTATTTTCAGATATAATACTTGCAATTGTATTTTAATTTTTACCTTCCTCCTGAAAACTTAATTTGATTGAATGTTTGTTTTATAGTTTACTCGACTCGTATTAGTCGTAGGTGTAGCACAAACTGAGTTTAGTATGGATTTGATTCAAGTGATTTTATGTTTAGCGTGGAAAACATGGAATTGATGTGCAAGATCATATTTAATCGCTTATGCATAAGTTAATTTTGATACTAATCATTATGCCCATCTTCATTTATATGAAATTTTTATTAGTACGCCCGGATTGTGATACCTGAGTTCAAATCCTGTTTTACTTTTTCCACTACTTCCCCTCATTTGTGAGCTTTTCTCACTAGCCCTGATTAACTACTTTTTTATTCTGAACTGTGGTAGCAGAATATATCGACAGTGAAACTACTAGACGATCATGTTTGCGGTTTTTGAAAAGCTGCCCTCTTCAATTAATTTTTTTAGGAGAAGAAATCAGTATCATTCCTTGAAGTTTTCTTTGCACGCAGAGAGAAGAAAAATCATGGAAGTATTCAATGATTGATGTTGAATAGTTTTCCACAAAAAAGATAAAGTATGACAGGAAGTCAGCAATGTCACAAACCGAGATATGTGGTCTGGTAGTTTTGCAATATCTATATATAACACCTAACTTATTACCCCTTCCTTATTTTTGCAGGCTGTGAAATGTTCCTTGGATGGACTGGAGAAGTATGCGGATGACCCTGCTTCTGAAGAATACTTGGCGTCAATTCAAGGACTAAGTTTAGTTGCTGAGGTTAAATCTCGCACAGAACCTTATTCAATAGAGTTATATGACACTAGCACTGATGATAATGTTCATATGGGTGAAGAGTGGTTGCAGAAACTTGATGCACAGAATTCAGCTCCAATCATGCCACCTGTGAGTAGTTATTAATTTTAAGTATCAGTATTAATTTTCAGTATTCTGGTTTGCCAAGATAACATTGAAAGTACATGACAGCTAGAGCACATCTAACTGAATACGTACAACTTTCAAACAAAGTCTGCTCCATATTGGAGAAATGTGTACGGCGTTTTAAGCTGTAAAACTCTAGTCCAGCATATGTCCCAAAGCATGCAGATTTTGGCTTGCAATTTAATCTGTCAGTACTGGATGGCAATTCAAATTGTAATAAAAAAAGAGGCTGCAACCAAACCTGGACTATGCTTTAAAGTATTGCACTCCGTGATCTAAGATGCTGTTTGTCGAAAAGTTGACTCGGCACCTGTATCTTTCAAAAATTCTTGTCATTCAACTGATCTGTCCTCTTTCGACTCGCTTGTGCTTTTTCAAATTACCTCTATACGCGCAACCTTTAAAACTCCTTTTGTAGAAATTGTCCAGGGTACTTGTTCTTGGGGAAAAATATTCATTTTGTCAAAGTCTATTTTCACATAATGTACTAGTATTAACTAGGGGGCTGTACTGTCTATCCATTCCGCCCAGCCCCCAAGCGAAGCTTCTACTATAAATACAAGTATATTTGAAGTGATGTTTTCACTCTACAAGAATGTAGCTCAAGAAATGCAAAGAGTTTGAAACCCCCCCCCCCTCAATAAATACTTGGATGTAGACAATCTCCCCCCTCTTTCATGAAATTATGTTTCACACTATTTTCCTAAACCATAATATTCGCTTTGTTTGCTCCTCTAGAGAAATATAAAAAATCACAATCCTAATTTTTGAACGAAAGCTGGCAGTTTCAATATTTCAATATCATTTGCTTGTCTTTCAGGATTTTTTGTTCTTCTCTTTTAATATACGTTTCTTTGTCAACAGCGTGGTGGCATTCAACGGGACGTCAAAACGTATGTGTCTCATGTATCTGACACGGGAGAAATCTTCTTACAATTCCACACCAAACACTTCCAGATTCTGCAGGCTCTAGTTGAAGATATTACTCCTGAAATAGTGCAAGCAAACCAAATCGCAAACTTGGGAGACATAGATACTGAAAAATTGTACCTCGCTAAATTCACAGACGATGAATGGTATCGAGCAGCGATTACGAACGTTAACTCCCAAGATGATGTAAGTGCTTTGCTGAAAGACCTTTGCTCCATTTTGCGCTCACACCTCGAGACCAAAAGATTTCCCCAACATACAATAAGGAGCAAGTTTAAAACAGCATATGAGTTTTCAATCAAAATAACAAAGAGCTATTCTGACAATCAGCTCAGATGTGAAAAAAGGGGGTCTTTTTTGGCATTCCAACGCTTTTGAGAAGACAACTCGAGCCTAAGTTGACAAAACCATATCATATTAGACATTTTCTGTTAGCCATCATCACACTGAAAACATACATTTTGACGAAATCTCTCCCTAGCTTTTGAGTCAAAAATTCGCAAACATTTTTCCAATTTTGAACTTTATTTACCACGTCTCGTCAAAATTTTTGAGTGACTTGAAGATTTAGGAAACGAGAAGACGTTGTCTAGTGATTCAATGTGCCATGTCTCAAAGGCATCTGCTATCAGCAAAAAAAACCCCGCACACTCCTTATGGGAATGTTTGCACTCTTAGATCTTTAATTTTTTTATTGCATTAATTTGTCAATGGATGCTGATCAGAAGTCATAATTGCGCCAACTTTAGTTTCTATCATTTCCAGAACAGGCCGACTGAAATCAAAACGCAGCTCATGTCTATCAGGTGAGGACAATAGAATGAGAGAGAGAAAGAAATTGATTTAAATGGAGAAAGGAAAAGGCGTGTGGAATTGAGATAAGACTGTTGCTCGGCTGCTGATCGGTTCTTCTGTTTATTTCTGCGGATTGTGCGAAAACGGTGCCTTGTAAAGTGTTGGCGCTGTTTTGATCAGCCAGCATCCATAGACGAGTTTAATGCTATAAAAAAATTGAAAATTGAACAGGGCACACATTCCCACAAGGAATGTGCGAGGTCCTCTACCCGTTTTGTCCTTACCCCTCCCTGTGCAAATTCACCGGACGAAGTGTTGCAGCGTTTAAGTACAAGATATTATCAGAATCATGATTGGTCTATTTATTGCTGCTGAAGTTGTAACATCTGACATGGCAGCATGCTGTGCATTGTGCTGTTTATGCATAGAGTGCATAGAGTTGTATGTAATATCATAAAGTGAACTGGGGTCATTTTCTGGTTGACAAGTTCCCAGCCCATTGTGGTCACCTTTTTAATACATTTTCGATCCAAAATGGCGATGTAAAATACATAGTAAGTCTTAACCTCTCTGTTTACATCAGATGACCGGATGACCCATTGCTTGTCGGGTACCTGTTTACTAAATACAATTGATTATGTATCGAAATGGTGACCGGGCACTGCTCAGGAGTCATGGAATTTGGTGACTGGAAAATGCTTAAAAGTGGCGCCAGCTCCTTCATTCCTTTTGTGACTCCATGTACTCTATGGCTTAAAGGTCCATATCTTCTTATGATTTCTTCCCTTTGCTTAATTCTAGTAAAATATTCCTCAGCTTTGTTTTACCATGAGTAATGAATGTATCATCTGTTTCCTTTCCAGATTGAAGTTTTTTACATAGACTATGGGAATTCGCACAATGTACCTTTAAATGAACTCTTGAGCTTAGATAAGTTACCTCCGCTATTAAGTCTTATTTTGCCTCAGGTAAGTTGTAGTTTTACTGAATAAAATTTCTACATGCCAAGTTGCCCTTAAAGGAGTTAACTGTTTTTATCATTCCCGAGGGTTTGAGTTTGAATCTCCCATCAAAAAACATGAACAAATAGTCACGGTTATTCTTGAAAATAATATGAAATACTTTGTAATAACTGAGTGTCATCTGAAAGATTTAGAATTTACTTAAATTTAACCAAGCATTTTGTTTTGTTCTTATTTTAGATGTTTCCTTATCCTGTGTAAAAATAAATTAAAATAAGACTCATTTTATAATTGGCCATACAAAAGAGCAGTTATATTAGCTCATACATTTGTAATTTTTTACATATCTCCACTCATAAAATTATACATTGTCATCAAAAACTTAGTATATCAATAATGTATTCATCATCAACAGATCATCATCAGCATCGCACAGAGTCTCTTGTAATGTGGGTTTTGTAGGGCTTTGCGAATATGGTTTTTTTTAATGTTGAATCAAATCAAATATTTTGAAGAAGTTTCGAATTTGAATCGAATATTTTACCTATTTTTGACTAAAACCAGTTCCTTTGTTGGTCAAAGTAAAAATCGGATAAACACTTTTATTTCTAACATTTAATTTTGAGCATAGAATCAGTGGCGCATTATTTTTTTCTGCATTTACTTCAAGGGAAGGCTGTTAAAACTGTTTTAGGGTGTAAATTCTTCAATGTAATTCATTTACAATTGCAAAATATGCTTGCTCATCTTGGAACTACTTTTAAAATATGGGGTATGCAAATGTAAAGTGCAAGGTGTGTGGATAAATAAGTTCTTTATCTAAGGAAACTGAAAATTAATTAAAGCCTTTGAGACTTAAACATCAAGCTTTATTGGAAAGTTTTCTTTTTTTATTTCAGGCAATTCTGGTGCACTTAGAATCAATACCGCCTTCAGTTTTCTCGGAGAAATTGGCCGAGAAGATTCGAGAGATGGTAACAGACGATACTGAAGTTCTAGTGAAGCGGACCTCTGAAGATGAGATTCAGATTCCAAGAGTTGAAATATTCATCCGCATGCCTCCTAGCAACATCCTTGCATCCATCAATAACACCATTGTAATAGACCCGGAATTCAAGTTAGGATCAAATTTTACATAGTTCATCTTCTCATTAAGTCTTGCCTTTTACCTGTTTTTGTTGTAATCTGCTTAAACCCTTTCCATGCGTGTCCGGGATTTCCCATGTTTTTTCTTTCGGTAATCAAGAGGATTTTCTCGGGAGCAGTAACTAATAATTTATTTTCTCATCATTAAACAGCTTTCTTATTATTTCGTTTTTTTAAAGGAGCCATAGAAATTTCAATTATTTTATCCTGTTGTAATTTTGATCTTTTTGCCTGTGATTACCTGATAAAGGATTTCCTCATTTTAAAAATCGGTGATGGTTTAGTCAAGTTTCGATTACCCAAGTATGTCATCAAATCAGTGCCTTGCCATGACAGTCAATGATTATCATGGTTTTTATTGATGCGTGAAAATGATCGTACTTATTTACTCTTTTATATGATCATTCAAATTCACCAACGCAAAACTGGCAGTTGAAGAAATGAAAAAAGCTTTATAAAAGGAAAGTTGAGGAAAGTTGTTCATGGTTGATAAAATATTATCTTTCCTCGGTGAATTGACCCCTGTTCCTAGTGAAGATCCTGGTGATTATTCAGTTTACAAAGATGTGTCAAAACTTAAACAGCTTTGTGGCTGCTTCCTTTTCTTTACTTCTTTCCTTTTTTGTAAAATATTTGATACTTAAAACATGTTATTTTCTCTCTATCTTGTCTTAACCTTTTATTTGGTTTGTTGTTAGTATTTTATTCTAGGAAGTAGGTTAAAAAGAGTTCATTTGTCTGACCTATTTTCTGAATTTTTGGGAGCACTTTAACTAGTAGCATCTTTACTGATTGTTTTCATTTACATATTTTCCTTTCGTAATTATACTTTGCTGCATAGCCTTAGTTGTCGCAAATCACAAAACAATACAGATTTTTCTTTTTTTCACGGACAAAAAATATACCAATTTAATCGAACAATCCTTGAATTTTAGAAATTGTAAACCATGAGTTTAAATGGACAAACTTAATGATCACCTTTTACAACTTTATACAGATAATTACACAACAACGTAACGGACATCCTTTTTTCCAGTTTTATTTATTCCTTTTGGAACTCTTCAACAATTTTCACTGGTTGGGTCTTAGTGATGAATTTAGGATATAATTCACATTTAAATCAGCTTCTCAAATACATACAACACCAATTGTGTATCATTCTCATCCCTCTCCCTGGGTTTGTCCTACTACACATCGCTTTTTCTTTTAAATCTAGGTGTCTCATCAGTAAAACATTGAATAGCATTTTGATGGTCGTTTTTAGGGTCTTCTCTGTTTTTCATCCGTTAGTCCATGTCTCCTTTGCTTTGCTTTGCTTTGCTCCCTATACTATTGTAAGCTATTACTCTCCAGATATCCCTTTGCCATCTCAATGAATGAGAAAGAATGTAAAATTTGCCTACGGTCTGGTCATTGAAATTATGACAGCCTGACGAGACCAGACGCAGCCTTTATCTGAACTAAGCATTATATCATATCGCATTTAGTTATCTTATCAGGCTGCTTTAAACTTTCAATAAGTGCCCCGGAGGTACCCTCATTAATGAAGGTTGTGTAAGGCCCTGTGTTACCAGGGCGGAAAAAACCTGAAAAACAGGAATAGTAAAGGAATTTCATCCGTAAGACTTGAATTTTTTACTCTTGAATGACTTCTCTCCTCTTTAAAAGTTTTCATCAAGTTGAAGTCTGAATGAAGATTTTGTTATAAATTATGAATTTGTAGAGAAGTATTTACTTAAATTATGTTTTTCAAGGACCCCTTCGGTCGATTTTAAAATTAATGATAAAACTTGTTCTTCTTTTAGTGCCTGCTAGTAGATCATTGACTGAAAAATTCAGGATGATATTTTTTCTGATGTTTTTAAAGATCCTGATTTTTTATCCCTTGGAGTACTAGAAGTAAGGTTACTTCTAGTTGTGTACTGTTGAGACAAATCTTTTTAAAGTTGGTTTGCTCCTTCTCGGGTATGAATCCCTTAAGTTTTATTATCCCTTTAAAATATCCTCATTCCTTGCACTTGGAGTAAGAAAAAGAAAAAATTTTCCTGGGAAAGAGAGAAATGATAGTGGATGTTTTAGAACTTGTTAAAGTTGGTTTACCTCAAAAATGCGTTACATTCATAAGAGAGTAAATTTAAGAAAAAAATTATTTTAATACCCGGTTGAATATTCATTAAGCAATTAGTGCAATGTATTGTCTGATAAACTTTTAGGGTTTTTCTTGTCGTCTATTTTCTTGGAATGTGTTCCTACACTCTGTTTTTAGCTCATTTTCTCGTATTTTATTTTTTTTATTTTTATTTTACTGTAAAGCACAAATATTTCACCTCATCTTCTTGCGGTTCATCTAAGTTCTCTTGGTTTAATGATGGACAGATGAATAATAAGACACATACCTACTTCAAGTGGACACCAGAATTGAATAGCGTCGGGCAAAAACTGTTAACTTCCATTATTCCAGTCTTGAATTATTTTGAAATTGATCATACTTTTCAGAGTATGATGAAACCATGAAATTGATGCAAAGACTTGTTTTGGGGTTATCAGAATCCCAGAATGACTCTTTAAACTACTTACATGATTGAATCAACTCATGAAAAGTATAATGATCACAAAGAAAGTCAAAGATAGAAAAATGGACGCCAATGGTTTTCGTGAGACACAATTTAATTCATTACTTAATAGAGATGATGGGCAGAGTCAGATTAAACACGTCAATTTTAGGCTCAGTTCCCTGCATTCTTCGTAGCATCTGCATTACTTAGTCCTGATATAGATCAGGGTCTGAAAAGCTTTCTTTTCCATTTATAAAACGTCAATTGGCACAGAAGTTTACAATGTTAGCAAGGATAGAAGGCTGGTTGCCATTTTGTGACTTTTCGGAATCCTAAGGGACTAAATGTTAGCAGTATTATTAGGAATTAAGATGCTCAAAATTGTGAATCTCAAAGTTTTATTTTTGTACGGCTGTCCTCCAGCCTATGTTGTTTTTATTTCGTCAGCAAGAATGATTAAATATGGTTTCTTTTCTCATCATTTCAATAGCTTTGTGTTGTATTCCTTTTTTCTCTTCATCTAAAGCTTCATTGCTTCGACACGATAGTAAATATTAAGTTTAGGTATGAAGTACTCATGTATTGCACATTTTGTCAAAAGACTTTGTGAGGCATAATGAATTCAAGAAATCAATAGAGATTGTTGAGTTTTCCCATGTTCATCAATAAACAATAAAAATGTTTGTTTAATACTTGCCAGAGAATCGACATTCACCTCTCATAACTGAATACCCATATACTTCTTAGAAGCATCTCCATTTGTTCAGCAAAATAATCAGAAAATGTGAGCGCTTTCGCATTAATCCATCTGGGCACTTTAAGGCCATGAAAATCTCTCATATTACATAATAGCTCAATTCTCATAAAAATATTTAAGAAACAGAGCATCCTTCTACGGTAATAAATAGACGTGGTGCACTAGTCATGGAATCATATTATGATGGTTATAACCTTTTACCTACAGCTTTGAAATCCGCCATGATGGTGTTTATGAAGATTATTTCCACCTTGGTTCTATAAGTGATGCATTTGGAGCAACCAGTGAAACCACCAAACTCTGTACCACCATGGTGAAAAATGTTAATTGAATTATTTTTCAGAGAGCAATGTCTTATAGAACATTGAATCTTAATTGATTCAATACAATTCTGAGACTAGCGCATCCATAGGGCTCATGGCGCCCACGGAACAGCCCTTGAATATACTTCAATTTAGTGGCGAATCTTCAAGACCTTGAATATGTTTAAATTGTAATAGATTTTCTCAAATGTACCTATAATATGCAAATCTTACATAATCTGGTTTTTTTGTCAAAAACAATTTGAAAGATTTGTCTTCTTTCTTTCTGCTGAGACTTGAAAATGTCAAATAATGTCATCTACTTGGTTAAATTTTCCTCGTAACTTTAAGGTAGTAGAGAAAGTGGAAGGCTTCTGAAACGCTCTCTGTTCATTATTAAAAGTCTCACTTGATACTTTTTCGAATCTTCAAAAGATCCCTGAAAATCCTTGATTTCGGTTTTAAAGAGCTGTTATGAACACTGATCCAATGCATTTTCATAATCTACTTTGGGCTTACAAAGCCTGTAATTATACTGAATCATAGAAGAACAATTTTGAATTTTAAAAATTTAACTATCAATATACACGCATTGATGGGCAGAATGTTGAACACAATGACAAGAAAAACCCTTTTCATACATGAAAATGATAAACCCAACTAAGTGGGTTGGTTTTCAAACTTACCTCTATAAATAAGGTACTTACAGACATTCATTGAGTCCATGCCAAATAAGTTTGCGCACTTTTAGACTTCAACAGAAGATCCACCTCCTTGATTCTTGCATTTACTTTCCATGCTCAACTGACATCAGACGATCTTTTGTTGCAGCCTAAAAGTGTGCAAACTTATTTGGCATGGATCCCAGTGTGAAACAAAACCTCAGAGCAGTCATTTTATTTGTAAACTTAATATTATCTAGTCTTGATTCTCTTCAATAATGCTTTGCCCTCGATGTGTATTATCACACAACTACTGGACTTATCAGAACCATGCGCCGAATGGGGAAAAAATTAAGGGGTTTTTCAACCTGATCATCATATTTATCAAAATTATTCGTAAATTTTGTGTGCCCAGAAAATGAAAATTAATCGCAAGTACAATTGAACTTCATTTTGGAATTAGGAACTACTATTTCTGGCTCATCTGTAGAAACAAGTATGTGAATAGAAAAACAAATGGAACATGCATTGTTTCTAAACTGAGCCAGAGATTGCAGTTCCAATGAAGTGATTAACCNGGGGGGGGGGGGGGGGGGTTTGCCCAAAACCGGTTGATTGAGCCCTTAATATTTCTGCTCAGAGCAGTATATAAACAAACATTTTGATGTAAAGGACACTTGGAAACATAAAATCTAACCGGAGAAATGATTGTATGAAGTTCTCAGTTCAAGACACCCAGATTTGAAAAAAAGCCTTTGAAACTCTCAATCTGTTAAAATAAGGGCTTAGAATTGTCAATGCAATTTATCCCGTCTATTAGAACCATTATAAATTAAGACTCCCGCAGCTCATTCTTCTTCATAATTTCGCCTGTCAGAAACTATCTTGATTTATCCATTGAGACAAAAATCGCCCCCATGAAAAATTAGCATCTGCACAGTAAAGTCCTTTTTTCTGTTAACGGTGTTGTATGTATAAATAGTTACGCTAGCAAGCTATGGCTCAATGCATCAGATTAGGTTGAGTTTCAGGAAATTTTATGATATGTTAGAAAAGAGTTATTCGATGAGAGGCCATGAAATGAGCTAAATTACGTGAAACACTTTTTTCCCAAGTTTTGGGGAGAGAATTGACTGTACATTTATATTTATATTATACATTTTAGAATTGTCTCATTTCAAAATTCTCAACTGTTTATCCCTACATATTTCACTCAGCCCACAACATGAGATACTGCAAGGATTAGAAAATTGTAATGATAGTAAAGTTTTCCTTTTAGAGAGTGAATAATGAGAATTGTGGGGAACGCGAGAACCCGCCCTCTGTTCCCTAATGCTTTTGTTTGACAGTGTATACTGCAGTGATTGTTAAGTAAATTATTGTGATGCATTACACCTGGGAATGGTTTATCTATCAAGGATCCTCTATTTAATTGATGATATGAAAAATGTATAGAATAATGGAATTGCAAGCTTCTGCTTGCACCTTTGGCCTGTGGTGGAGTTCCTTTTGCTAGTTCTTATCAAATTTTAAACTCTAATTTAAATTAGCTCTTATTAGCTGTATTGCGTAATTTTTCTCGGTCTTCCCCTCCCCATCTATTGAGGAAACACAGTAGTAACATTTTGCCACTGTTTGATACATGCAATCATCTAATAAAATTCTTTTATTTCTTGTAAAATCAAGATGATTATTTATTTACACATTTAACCATTGCACTGTATTACATACTAAGGAGGCGGTAGATTAAAATAAAAGATGACAAGTGAATGAGTTTAGAAGTTTTTAAGTCTCAGGTATTTTCAAATTTTTATCTAAATTATGAAGCTTGAAAGGATCGCTCATCCCTTCACAGAAGTTCCTTATACTAATCATGAGTGGTTTTCATTCTTGATTTCAGGCTTATTGAAAACAAAGAAGGAAGTCCAGATGTGAATGTTGAAAGTAAGTATTTGTCTCTAAATGTTCAGTTTAGGGAGTAGATGAGCGAGAAAATTTTTGAAAAATTGCAATTTTAGTTCTATCTGCTTCCATGACCTAAGAATTGCTGTAAATTTCAGATGTTCTTTGTTTTAAGAGAAGAACAGCACACACTGAATGGGTAGTGACGGCACACTACTCGAACCATTTAAAATTGAGGAATAGAAGAGTCTTTTTTCACTGCTATGAGCCTGCTTTACCGAAATACTTTGAAAAATCTTTCCTCAGGGTTTTCTCGTTATTGTGTTGGAGTAGTAGGAAGGAACTCAGTTATAACCTATTGATTCAGACTAAATGCATGTGTTACACGGTGGCCTTTCATGATGTAATACTAGTAGATTTTTAGTCATTGGTTTAGTAAATTTTTATAAGTGTGAGTCTATGATGTAATTATTTTCATTAGCTTTAATAGACAAGATTGATTACAAATTGATCAAATTCTTTACTTTGCTGGGCCATATAATTTTGAGTAAAAATCTAAAGCAGAGATACTCGGAGCCTATACAGGATCGGTTTAACGGTCTTTTAGTATTTGTCAGCTTTCTTCATTTTGTTATTGATGCTAAATGGAGAAATCATGAATATATATCATATCGATGGCCAAAGTGCGAATTTAAATTTAAGTGTCGGAAGGAAAAAATATAATTTGTGTGTTTTTATATTTGCAGATGCTAGCAATGTTGAAGATTTGGGTCAAGCCTCAAAGCAGAGTAACGAAGCCCCCCCTCCCCCTCTGATTGGAGTTGTGACGCCACTTGTGAATACCAACTTAAAAGTTGATGCTAAACCCTTCATCCCCAAAACCTCTTCCGCTCCTGAACAGAGTCAAAAAAAGAGGGACCTTGTCCCAGCTGGAGAGGACAAGTCTTCTGAATCTGGGAAACATATTGGTTCCAGTCCCTCTGATTTGCAGCCTTTTGAATTACCGAAGACAAAGGATGACACTTTGCACGTTTATGTTGTCAATGTTGCTAATCCTCACAACTTTTCGGTGAGGAGATCAAGTAGTTTTAAGGTTTTTTATGTCGGTTCAAGGATGCAATGATGAGCAATGACCGTTCTAATTCTCCATGTTTGTGAATAAAAATCCTTTTCACAATGCAAAACTATTGCCACAGCTTTTTATCAAAGAGAATCAAGTTTAACCATTAGCCAAGATGGATTAAAATTGGGGGAAAGAAAGAAAGTAAAAACTTTTTAAATGTGAGAGGACTTTAAAGATTGTGTGAGCAACACAGCGATTGTGTAAGTCTACAAAAATCTAGAAAACAGTTGTATGATCTAGTAAATGTAGCAAATTGCTTATGGTAGATCTAATTTTTATTGGAATGAAGGATAAAGATGCCCTGCTAGGAAATGTGTTTGTTTTTTATGTGACATGTCCAAATAATCTGGATTTTTAGTGAAAAAAGCTATCAATTCATTTTAAAAAATGAGATAGTGTATTCCATATTTGCACTGGTAGTAGAGTGAGCTAAAAGTACCAGGATGGCTGACTAACTTTTGAATGGGTGCACCTAGAGAAATGAAATTTTGAGGGTGCTTCCAGATTAGAGCCTACTTTTTTGCGAATGCAAAATTCAAGTGTTTGCGCAGTCACCCAGGAGTGGACCCTCCAAAATCTTACATTTGCGGAAAAGTAGCCTGTAATGACCAAGAAACACCCTCAAGGTTCCATATTTCTATGTGCACTTGTTCAAAAGTTAGCCAGTCGTCCTGGAACTTCTGGCTCACCCTATACACATGCAACACAATATGAAAATAGAAATAATATTTTTGATGAAACTTACTTTTTTTTACAGATTCAGACGGAAGAATCACGGAAGACATTGGAGAATCTTGAAAAAGAAATGAATAATTTTTACACCAAGTACCCACTAAGCAAGAAAAAAGACTTAGAAATTGGGCAAACTTATGCTGTTCGGATAGTGAATGGAAAATGGCAAAGGTGAGTTACCATTTTTGTGCGAGAGCAACCCTTTTTTGTAGTGTAATCCGAACAAAATATCGAGAAAAGACTGGGTATATGTTGATAGTTCTGTTCCTATAATCCCAATTTTAGGTACACTTCAAGGTGAGGACAGGAGATGAACAATGTTTGGCTGCTCTTTCTTGTAAGAACCTCCATTTTTTAAAGTTCTGTTCTCTTTTAGAAGAAGAAAGTATGAAGAAGACTAGGGCACCCACAGAAATATTTACTGTTCTTTTTTCACAGACAAAATGGATTGCTGATTTAACAATTAAAAATTGTTGACAAATATGTCCAAAATGTTTCAAATGTACATTTTACAATGGCAGAAAGCTAATTGAACCATGTGGGTGGTTAAATTAGCATTTTTTTTTATTGTAAAATTTACATTGAAACATGTCAAATACTTTTTTTAATCAAAAATTATTAGATTTTTCCAAGCAAAGCAACAATTCAGGGGGTTTCAAAGAAACCAACTGTTGGCTGAGTCAGAAACCTACTAAAATTTTAGTATGTTCGCCAGAGGTCTTCTTAGGTAGAAATCAAATTCATCATCTAAATCTTTACATTTGTCTGCCCTTTATCAACTTTATTATTGTATGCTCAATTATTTAAAGAATTCATTTCATATTTTCTCTACAACTTTCCTTTTGAGCTTTATGTCTTTTCATTGTCAATATATGTCATTCAACATATTTTGTGCAACTAAGTGGAATGTTCTGTTATCAGGTTCACCATCACCTCATTTTTGGACGCAGATCAATGCATCGGAAGTTTCCCTGACACTGGCGGGCTTCAACTAGTTCCTGTTCAAGACATCTTTCCTTTGATGCCAACTTACAAACAAGGAGCCTATAAGCCTGCGCTAGCAACCAGTGCCAAGTTATTTGGTGAGTTTAAGATCCTCTTTTACTATACACGCCTTTTCTTGACAAGTCTCGTCATGTGGGACATTTTCATGAGATTTGTCGCAGTGTCGAAAAGGGATAAAGAAACTTCAGAGTTTTTTTGCAGTTAAAAGTTTTTGTTTCATCCGATTTTTTTTCCTTTCATCTCGTAGCAAAGCAATCATGAAAGACTAATTGAGTCATTGATTTTCCATTTTATTGAGAAATTTACCATACGTTAAAAATTTCTTAAAGCGGAGTTATAAAAGGAGTTCATTCCAGTAATGTTTGTCCCAAGAATTGTGTTGCGCATAAATTTTAAAATCGAAAATATGTATCAAATTGCTAAAATTTGCACCGTGTCTAGGGGTCCTTAAAAATTTTTAAATCAATTCTGAATGATGAAAGTACTGTCTATGGGTCTTCGTTTTTAAGCCTGCGTGGAGAGGAGGTCGGTCCAAAAAAAAAATTTAAAAAATTGATAAAATAGACAATCCTAGTGGGTGGGCCCTCAACAGTTTCAACTCATTGGAAAGAAGAGTATAATTAACACATTCATTTTTACCGCATTTATTTATCGTGAATAATTTTGAAGAAATATGACAGTCTAATTTACCTTTGGAGAGACTCTCGTATATCTAGGTTAGATTTTCTTATATGTCTTTCCTGTCAAACAGGATTCTCAACATTGAAGGGGAAAGTGCCTGCAGACCTGAAAAATTTGAAAACAAGTGATTGGGGACTGAATATATTATGTGTGAATTTTTAACATGTCTAGAGCGTAAGGCTGCAATCGCATATCTCGTTTGCGGTGTCTGAAAATCTCCGCCTCTATGTTATTTTTTTAAAGGAGAACAAATTGACATCATTCCTTGAAGTTTTTCCAGAATTTCCTTTGCACCAAGAAGAAAAATCACCGCTTTTTTAAAGAATTATCGTTGAGTAGTTTTCCATTTAAAAAATAAAGTATGACAGGAAGTCTGCCACGTCGCAAACCGAGTTATGTGATTGCCAACTTACACTGTCGATATATAAGTACGCACTGGATCATGAATCATTAGCCCCCTCCTACCTCCAAAACAGATAAATTTATGAGATTAATGCGACTTTACACAGAGCAATATCTCGGTTATTATTGAACGTAGAAAGTTGCGGTTAAGACAGATCTTATTATTTTTAGCTTTACAGGATTCTCATCTTATTTTTACAAGAATCAAGTATCAAAACACGATTCTGTGATCAGCGCAACTGACCCTTGCCAGTTTAGGCCTCTAAATTTCTGCCTTTGTTTGACTTGAACCTCAGGTACATAAATGATCTTTCCTCCCTTAATTGACTGTATTTTCCTGACAGGTGTAGAGCCCAAGTGCAAGGACTGGGATGTGATGGACACATTGCAGTTCCAAAGCATGGTCAAAGAAAGGAAATTGAAATGTCATATTGTGAATATGAAGAAACAGCTAGAGATAGAACTATTCGACTGCAGTGGATCAGAGGAGAAGAATATTGGACAACTGCTAATACACAGAAAATGTGCTGTCAGAAGCTCGTGAAAGTTTTTCTGAGTATCCTTTTCCACTGTTTTAATTCAAGTCATCTTTACAATTTTTTTCCCCGCTTCAGCTTTTTTGTAATGTACAAAACTGTTATTTCCCGAAGTTTCGAATTATTAAGTTTGTAATATTGTATTATTTGTAAGTAGTAGATTTCTTCCTTTTTCTTTTTTCTGCGTTATTTTATATTAACAGTTGAATGATATTTGCATGCAGCTGGTCGATGTTATTTTTTCAATTATGTTAAAATTTTTGAGAAACGATCACCCAGCGAAATGATCCTCCCTCCTCTCCTCTTTCCCACCTTATCAAGTATAAATTTTGTCAGGGAATAATAGGCAGGGCTCTCTGAAACCATGCAGATTTGAATTACTTGCCTGGTCTTGCAGTGAAAATCAATGCAATCTTAAAATTAACGTTTGCTACCTAAGTTAAAATTTATGAAATGAAATGAGCATTTTACCCTTGTTAGTATTTACGTTCATTGCATGATGTCAAATAGTATAAGTAAGTTTATGAATACATGTCCAAGCATGATAGTGCAAGATCAGCCTCCTGAATTATGATTTCAGTGGCTGAAGTACGAAACCACGTATCTCCATTGTAATGTTTCAAAACCTCTACCCCTGTTTTCTTTCTTTGGAGGGAAAGAAGTCAACCATATTGTTTGAAATTTCTACGGAATATTCCACTAATAGAGAAGAAAAATCAAGGAAGTAGGTATTCAAGGCATTAAGTTGACTAGCTTTGCATGAAAAAATAAAATATGACCGGAAGGCTGCAACGTTGCAAACGGATATAAGAGGTTTCTTACTTCAGCCATCGATTTGTGGTTCAGTCTCCTGAAATTCTCGCAGGTAAAAAGCAGCTCCGCCTACTTACAGATTGCTTCTAAGACATATAAAAATATTTTGAGAACCTTTTTGTATTAGATTTTTCTTAACTTTATCTTAAAATAAATGAAAACATATTAGGAACTGTTTCTAAGAAATACATGAAGTTATAACTTATTTAAGAGATTATTTGGTTTTTTCTAATGAGACTGACAATTTGTTTAATTTTTCTAGTTTAAGCACATTAGCTTCTATTGCATCTTAAAAAAAAAAATGACTTATTTCTGCAATGAAAACACAAAGTTTGATTACTCAAAACGAAAAGAAAAGCCTCTGTTGTATCAACATATAGGCTGCAAAACTCTTGCCCTAAATTCTCATTTGACAGTGGACTGATAAACTGCTAACCACAACTGATCAAACTTTCCAAAGAATTGTAATGAAAAGTTTTTACTGGTTTATTGTTTATTTTTTTTTTTTTTTTTGTACACGGGTGTATCTTATACTAGGAGTAGAAGTTAGAGTTTCTAAGATATAAATTATAAGATAGAGGAGGATTCAAACCGAATTTTCTTACAATTGAAAATTGCTCTAGATTTTTGATTCAAAGTTAGGTTCTGTATTTTTCAGTCGATATTTATGCTGAATGGCAAGTATTATTAGTTGTAAAGCACTTCATACACGGTTCAGTGTGTGCATACGTCACAGTGTGAGCAGTTCACAGTTACACAACCCTGTGTTAATCCAAGTGCAAAATGTTTCGTCTGTCTCAAGAGGTGACGAAAAGACTGACATTTTTTCTGTGTAATTGAATTTACTGCATTCGATGAGATTTCACAACTGTCTGAAGAATGATTTTAGAATATTATTATATTTATGAGGATATGAGGACAACTGTAAAAATGAGGTCACATTTGTCCTCAATATGGTCTATCTTCTGAATTTTGGTACAGCATTTCTTCAATTTTCTACGGCGTTAAGCCCCAGTCTCAGAACGAACCACTAGACCGTGTAAAATATTGTGCACCACAACACTATGTTATCTCATCTAAATTTCTTATAGAACAAGGTGAATATTTCAAACAGTGCCAAATTTAATACTTAAATGAGCAATCAGCTATATCTGAGATTAGGAATTCAAACTTTCTGTTTGCCCAAAAAATAGAAGTCTCCTTGAATCACATCAACCACTAAACAACACAATTCCAGTGCTTTTGAACAATGAAAAAATTTTCTCAGTGTGCTAAATTTTTCCACGTAAAGTTTACTAATACTGCGTGTCAGAGGGAGAAATACATTTTTGTAGAATCCAACATTACTTATTAGTCAAATGTCCTTAATGGCCACATTGACCCATATTGATTTTGATTTTTACATAAGCAGGAAGTTTTTTATTAAACATGTGAACCATAAATGCTAATTACGTATCTATTAGTCGACTTTTGAGCTGTTTAAATGTTCAATTTACTCTGCTTGGAATTTTGGTGTGGTATCATATCAATGGTGAAACTGCAGGAATGCGTATCTCAATTTGCAACTTTGCTGACTTTCTGTCATACTTTATTTTCTACTTGACAAACTACTAAATGTCATTTTTCTAAAACCTCGGTGGCTCTTCTTCTCCATGCAAGGAATATTCTGTAAAAATTTCTAGGTGTATTGTTGGTTTGATCCCCTTTTTTAAGTAATAAAATAGGAGTAGAGATTTTGAAACACCAAAACCAAGATACACATTTTTTTAGTTTCACTGTTGATATGTACCTTTTTGTACTTTAATTTTTATCAAGTGTAGTGGTCAGTTATCTAATTCCTCAGAAATATTTTGCTATTATGCTATTTATAAGTGACACCAGCTTTCATTCATCTGTTCTTGAATTCTTCAGATAAATACTCAAAACTAGTTGTACGAAAAATACCAACCCATTTTAGTATTTCTTGCCCTTTTGTGAAAAATTAATCAAAAGTAGATTTATTTCCTTCTTTTCTTTTACTTTTTTTGTACTCAAACGGTTGGTTGACAACGACAGGAATATAGATAGTATATTGCAATATTACATTTTCAATTTTAATGTTTCAGATCAAGTGTTCTTAAAATTGTACTTTGAAATAAACTGATTTTTGTATTTGAAGACTGAAAACATTTGCATTTATCAATCAAAATGTTTCTTTTCTTTTGTCAAGGAGCCCTGCAAAAGGCCAAAGTGGCAGTGGAGAAAATTGAAATTATATCAGATGGTGTGAAACAGAATTTTTATATACAGTGCAGAAAATTTGTCCCCAGAATTTATATCTCATTCCTTGATTATGAACTTTTCTGGAGAGGCTCTTAATAGTATCCTTTTTACTTGTTCTAAATATAAACATGAGGTCAAGACTGAAGAAGGTGTTGGATTAACGAATCATCTTGTTGCATTACTCCTTTTTTGCTTTTTTCATTTTTACCACTTTATTCGTGTTTTGTTATCTTCTGTTTTTTTTTACTGTTTTGTCTCCATTTAAGTTACTGCCTTCCCGCAAAATTTAGCCTTATAATTTTCTTTTTTTTATTTATTCAATTATTCGAAGTATTTCAACCTTTGGCTTTCAAGAAGACATAAATTCCACTTATCAGCTTTTTCTCTCTCTGGTTGAATCCTAAATCCTTGTTCAACTTTTATTCAAAGTTTTTAAGTATGTAATTGATTTCTGGGGGCACTCTGTTGTGATTTTCAAATTTGATTTTTCCAATAATTTGATTTTTAAAATATCATCATTTCAGGGAATTGTGATAAGTCTTTGAGCCAACAAAGATTTTGCTCACTTATATTCTTTGCCCTTGAACGTCTAAGTTGTAAATGAGATTATTTAAGTTTTTAGAACTTCCAGGGAGAGGACTTGCTGAGGCACTGAGATTGCCATAGCAGAGATTTTTATGATGGATTCAACATGAAAATAAACTATTGTCTGTGCTAGCTACAGCTTGAATTTTGGAAAGTGTTCTTCGTAATGGGTCAATTGCGCTGGTCTCAGAGTCATCTTTTAATGCTTGATTCTTGTAGATCAGCCAAAAGTATTAAGATCTGTTCAAACTGCAACTTTCCACGTTCAATATTAAACGAGGTATTGTGCTTTAAAAAATTTGGTTTATGACGTCATCCACCATGGTAGTGACATTCTTGGTTTCTTTCTCCTAGCTTTCATCTGAGTTTCACGTTGAGTAACTACTACAACTGTGTGTCTCTGATGAAAGCAAATTGGAAGAAACCAAAGGCTTCACCACCGCGGTGGATGATGTCATAAACTGACTTTTTCAAGGTGCAGTATCTCGATTAATATTGAACACAGGAAAGTGCTGTTTGTACCGATCTTATTATTTTTAGCAGAGCTATAAGGATACAGCATCAAAACACGATTCTGAGAGCAGGGCAACTGATTCAAATATTCAACTAAAACTCTTTTTGCATAAGAAAATAAGATTTTAGATGTATTCCATAATTTTTGTAAGCTCTGTCACAGTCTGATTTATCATGAATGTTTATTAAAAAAGAGAATATACTGAATATTAAAGGTACTATTTTAATAATTACTGCTTTAAAATTTCTTCTCCACCTTCATTATTTGTATATACTACAGTGTTTGTTGGAACAGTGAAGCGCCTTTTCAGTCAAAAACGCATCATAATGCCTCTCTTTGGAGGAGTCATCAGTGAAAATTATAACGAGTTAGTTTGAACTTCAGAGAAAATTGACAAAAATTTTGGAGTCAAAACTGACTTTTTGAATTTTTACAGGTTGAGATACTGCGGTTGAGTATGGCAGTTGCAAAGCTTATGGTGTCTCGTTTCAAAATCGATATTACTTAGGTTTCCATCATTTTGACAAGTTTTAAGGCAATCCCAACCATCTACAAATGCACATTTAACCGTCGTTACATTACTTTTCATATGAAAAATCATCGAACGGCCAAAATAAGGCAACAATGGACTTGAATTAATACTTCTCACTTGTAAATCGGAATTTTCCTCTTTTTTTAGTATAACTATGTGGTTGTAACTGCTCTTTATTTACCTTGCGAATATTAGACATTTTCAAAGGTTACAACTTTTAAAAAAGTGGAACGTTGATTCCCTGCGATTTTGGCTGGAACTCGGTCAGATCTAGGCCCAGAGTTACCCATACAATCATCTCACCAAGTTTGGGTGGGCCGCTTTTGGCCATTCGCAGCACCCTCTCTTGCATGACTGAAAACATCATGGCAAGAAACTATCCAAAGGACTCCTTAAGAAATTAGGAGAAGGCTGACTCTTGTTTCTGACATCTAACTGATCCGTAATTTTGAGGCTAGACAAATACAGCTACGACCCAGTCAAAAAGCGAAAAAAGAAGAAATAAAGAAATATTCTGAGGTGCTCAACGTACAAAGTTTAAACTTTATTAAATATAAAGAGGATTTCAAAGGGATAAAATGCGTATAAAATCAATGTAAAGAGCCTATGCTAATTACTAAATAACTTAAAAAAATAACATACATACATTAAGGTATGCTCAAAATTATGAAAATCATGCATCAACCTCTAAGTATACACACTGAAGTACCAGGGTCAGTCCGAAGTTATGCTAACTTATCGTTTCTTCTGTGTTGTTAAAAGAAAGAGTGNGGGGGGGGGGGGGGGATTACTAAAAGAAACAGGATTCTCCTCAGCAGCTTCTAACAGGCTAATAATTTTGCAAGAGCAGGAGATATAACACAGAAAATGCAAAAACCATTTAACTTCGATTTCTAACATAAAGAAACTGACTTTTAGAACAACACTCAGATGTCTCCGTTAGAGTCTCCCTGAGGTATAATTCAACATTTCCCCAATGTTCGTACCATGCAAAACCTTAAAAGTAAAATCACATTGAAGGAACATAAAGGAAAGATATGATGCAATCAGGCGGGTATAAGTGAAGAGAGTGGTGAAATACAGGCTCAACACAAAAAAAAGGGTGAAATCTGATTAAGTAGCTGATGTGTCCTTAGGGAGAAAATATTGATGACTGCGGTAAAAAATTACATATTTTCTTTGCGACTCCAAAATCTCCATTGGTGTTACATCCCCCTCAAAGAAAACTAGTCAAAATATTTCGTTGAACTTTGATGTGGATGTTTTTAAATGAGCAAGTAAATTTCAAGAAAAACTGCACTCAAGTTTTTTTTAAAAGGATGAAATACCCCAAGATGTGCAACTTCGTAATTGGATGAGCGCATTATCTGACACTCAGAGCTGATATAATTCAGAAACCCTGTGCTTCCTATCTTTTAATAAGGTCGTCTTTTATTAAGGTGGGAAAAATTAATCGATTATCAATAATTTCCCTTTCGAAGCTGTGGTAAAGAATCGATTATTAAGGCGTTTGTTGCTAATACCATGTTCATCGATCCTTTTCCATGGGTTCAAATGGCAGATAAATCAATAAATCGCAAAGTACACTACGCCACTGATGATGCAATAAGTACTCTCTGAAAGCTGCTTCAATTGAAATTGAAAATCAAGGAGGTATGCAACAAAATTTGTGGTGCAAATGTCTTCTCCGCATGGAGCTTCTAGGAAAGTGCAGCTTAGTAGGAATACAAAGACTATAATGTCTAATACCACATTCAGATTTGCTCTTAATTGATCAACCACTGCGTGCTCATGTGAGAGCTGCTTAAGCGAAGCTAAAACCTGTGCATTAACAAATAAAAAAATTTAAGTATGAAAATAATCACAGATTATAAATTTTCCTTCGTACATATTATAAGGTAAAAAAAATCGATTGAAGAAAAGGATTGCACCGATATTTAGTTAAGAATTTAATTCTTAACCTATCCCCTCAATATATTTGAGTTTAGGCTTCTAAGACGATAAAATTCAAGTTTCTGAAACACACTAATCTTACAATCTTTGGTACAAATTACAATTATAATTGTGTTTTAGATCCTTCAAAGGGATTTTACAACATTAAGTAGTGACCACCTTAGAGGAGCTGAAAGGAACAGGAAAATAAACTAAAAATTAGGGAAAGTAATGAAAATGAGAGATATAAAATGAATAAATTTGGAATCGAGTATCACTGCACCAATCAGTTTCTACACTCATGGAGAAACTTTCAAAATTTGTTATCACAATCTGATAGTTACGGTGTAATATAAACACAAAACAATAAGGAAAGGAATAAAAGAGGTATAAAATTATAAAAATTGATACTACACTAAAATATAACATATTTTAAAGCTACAGCATAGCGCAATGACTGGGTCATTATCAATGTTCCAAAAATCACAGAGAAAATCATTAACAATAATAGAAAAGTAGGTTTCAGATTAATTTTTTGGGGTTTTCAAAATTACTAAAACAAAAACACAAATGTTTACTAAACTGATGGGACTGTAGGTTTTTGGTGCAAAAATTTTTCAATGTATATTGACAGCTGATCTATAAAATGATAGTTAACATATTGATGACTATGGTAATTTTTGCGATGATTCTGACATTATTCTGAAGAAACGCAACAAATCTGATGATCAGCAGCACATGTAAGTTGCATTCATAACAATTTCTTCACAATGAGTTTGGTAGTAGACCCAGATAGCATTTTTATTGCCTGAGAACATTACTAGACTGCACTAGTCATAATACCAACAAGCCAATGAGAAAGTCATCGACTACAGGTTTTCCTTTTTTTTTTTGCTAAAGACATAAATTACAAATAAAATTCGACAGGAACTATTCAGCGTGCTCCAGATAATTATGACAAGAAACAATACTTTTTCATGCAGAAGCACATGAAAAATTTGAACGGTGATTTAAAGTTGGACTTTCCGAAAAAAAAAAGACGAAAGAAAAAGCTATGATTTTTGAACAATTGTGATGTTATATAAACAATACAAAAGTAAATTGTGAATAAATACATAAATAAAGATACACATTTCAAAGCTTATAGAAAAGCACAGCTGCAGTAAATAAATTGGGTGATGAATGGCTTTTTTTGCCACTTCATTATAAATTGAAAGCAGATTATCTAAGAAATTTCACTTCAGTTTCAACAGCGTCTTTGAGCAAATCGTCCATTTCTGATAGATCTAAGGTCGTATCGTTGCTGAGGAGAGTTTCCATTTCCGTGTAACAGATAGTCTCCATATTCTTAAGTTCTGTCAAACCAGCAGTTTTTTGCTTTTCAATTGCACTCTCATGAAGTCTGTATAACAAATGTGCTCTATCAACCTTGCGCTGAAAACGAGGAACCACCTGCAACATCAAAAAAACATTAAGTAAAATGTGACATCATATTTGAGATGTACAAGACGTTGGGTGCTTTCCTTTAATTTTTCCTCATAAACCTCAGTAAACCTCAGATCGTCCGAACTCCGGATTAGCTGGACTCATTTGTTCAAAACGTATTCCTCACTTTCTCTTGGTGATTGAAAAGTGGCAAGAATATATCCATTGACAGGAAGCGGCTACTTTCCCGGATACTCAGTGCTTCTGTGATTGGGGAAGAATAGCAGTTATAAAACTGGCTGCTGGCCGTGCGCAAGAGAAAGTCACGGATTATTTGAAATAAGTAAATACCAGATAAATTTTTGTATAAGTATCCTCAATATTTGTACATTAATATTGTGAACTAAAGTATAAAAATAAGGTAGTTTGCATTGATTGCATTGACTTTCCATTTATATTTAAAAAAAAAATTGATACATAACTGACTTCGGATTATCCAAATTTGCCGTTATCCGAACTGGCTGACCGCCACATTAGTATGAATTGTTCGAGGTTTACTGCACTTTGGCCCAAAGCTATTTTCCTCCACAGAAAATAAATCATGCTTATTTTACGTAAGAACGCAAATGAACAAGTTCTCTTCTGGCTATCCTGGCTATTTCTAAGTGGATTGTGTGATTTATAGATGGTCTCGAAGAGTCTCGTTTCATCAGTAATAGGACAAAATGTCCAAAGATAAATGTCCAAAGTACAAACATGCCCAAAGTCAAAAAGTCCATATCATGGATATTTTTTACTCGTCGACTTTTTTTATATTGGACACCTTTTTACAATGGACATTTCTTTTTGGACATTTTAACCATCACCGTCCCATCTTGTAAGATGAGTTTAATTGAAATTCAGATTGGTAAAAGACAGAAAGAGATTCAGATGATAGACAAAAAAAGAGAGCATGGAAAGGTAATACCTTGGCTGGATCATTTTCGATGATAGGACTAACAGTATGTTGTGAAATTTGAACGTTGGGGGTGAAAATAAACGGTTTGAAAACTGATACAGATGGGTCAGGTGTTGCAGTGAACCAATGGACATGTGGTTTCTGACTTCCTGCGACGGATAAAAGAGACACCTGCAAAATAAGAGCAAAATTATTTTCTATTTTTCAGTCAGAATGGTAAAACTGTGCAGACAGTAATGGTCAACGAAAATTAATTTTTACTACCAAACAGAAAAATTTAGTTTTTAATGCCATTCATAAAGCGAAGAACAAATGGATAGTTAAGTCATTTAAATCGGTCTGTTACAAAAGGGCTCAAGCTCCAGATATAAAAATACGAAAAAAACAGTAGAAACTGTATAAACCAACCCATTTTAAATTGCAGATCAATTAATAGGGTGATTAATTAATTCATCACTTTCATATTTTAGAGCTCTGAGATTTATAAAGGGTCCATTAAAATGGTCACAACCATTTTCCTCGAATTCTCGTCTTTGGCGCTGAGCCCTTTTGTAACTGACCGATTAAATTGTTTTTATGGTGTCATTTGTAAGTATTAAGTGAACTAAGCTTCTTATTTTTTCCCAAACTTTTTCTTGTGGCAGGAACCATGAGAGAAGTTCACTCGAAAGGGAAAAAAATATGGAAGCCAAAAACGAGATTTGAATTGCAAGCTCATTACTCTCGAATTTACACTCCACGATCAATATGGCAGCAGAAAACAGAGCGGAGGAATACATGGCAGCATTAGCGTTTGTATTTGATCAACAGGAGGTTATAGCTAGGCTGTGCAATTTTGACAGGCGATTTCTTTCTGAATGTTTTTCAAGTTTAATTAGTGTGCGGTGCAACTTGGAGAACATCACAGAGCTGACTTCTTACACACCTAACTTTGAATGACACGTCAACAACGCTTCCAGCAGCAGCAGCATCGTGGTAGTTACTCCGTAAGCATGAACTAAGCCATCGATCATATTTGAATCGGAAATTCAAAAGATTGTGCAAAAGAACCAGGCTGCTCAAACATATTTTAGAGGATCTTGTAAAAGAAAGTGTTATTTCCCTGCAGGGACGATTTTCCTTGCGATTTCTTCATGCCCATCATTTTTCTTTTATCAAGAACTGTGGAAATCAACAATTTGCAGGCCAACTCCTCCCTAGCTTAACTGAAACATCGCAGCGAGAATACAATCCTCTTATATTTCAGAATTTACCACAGGCTTTATCCCTCAACTGGCAACCTTTATGGCATTACCAGTGAATACATTTCCATTTTTCCAGAAATGTAAATGAAGGAGAGGTAAAAAAAACCAAACTCAATCTTTACCTGGGATCCAGTTGTTGGAAACGGGTTATCTGTGCTTCGGCAAATGCCAGAATCTTTGTCCCGTAAAACTGTAAACATGTCTTTCGTTTTAAATTGGTTTGATTTGGTTAGATTTCCTAATAACTCGGAGCCTTTTTCAAAACGATCACAGCTAGTTTCTGGGTTGGCGAATATTTTCTTAAAATTGAACTCATCCTGTAAAATTAAAGAACTATAATGAGAAGAGCTGAACCGAACAAAAAATGCATGGGATAAAATTTCACAGGAACTCAAGACACATAAAATACATTAATTATGATAATGATAGGATTTGATAGTCTATGCTATAATGGCTAAGAAAATATCAGGAAATAGTTGGTACATACATCTACATCTAAAATTTATGAGCTATCGTAGATGCCATAGAATTTAAACTCTTCAAGATATAAAGATGCCTTTCGTTTCAATATTTTAAAAAGAAATAGTACGAATTACTGAAATTGTATTGCTAAAGGCGTTTTGAATGTTTGATTTTGAGTTTAAATTTTTTATTTTACTTTCCTAACTCTCTTTCATTTGTCATTTATCAGCGCAATGTAATTTACCTCTGTTGTTCAAATTATTCTTGTTTCCTTGGTTCCTCATTGATAAAAAAAACTGTTTGCCTGAAACTTCTATCCCGTGTCAAACTATGCTAAATTGATTGGGTCTTTAGCACATGAACACAAGATCAAACTGCTAGTTACATAATGTGAATATTAATTACCTCCCCATTCCAGAGATTGTTTCCTTTGGCATATTCTTTTAAGTCAGCAGAAGATCTATCAAATCTAGTGGTCAGACTAAGACAGTTAGAAATATTGCGGTATCCTTCTGTAATACAAACATGTTGGTTAGAACATAGTGTAAAAAACAAGTTATAGGCATGAAAGAAAGCGCTACACGATTCGATAAAAGAATGTTTCCTTCAATGCAAGATTGAATCCCAAAATTGGGATCAGAACTATTTCATCTCTGAAAATGTCAATCATACTGTTAGGTTTTGTGTGTTTTAATGCAATTTCCCTATTTGCAGTCAACTTCGGTGCAAAACTCAGACAGACTTGAACAAACCAAGACAAAAAACAGCACCACAAGCTTTAGACGTTTTTTACTTTGGCTTTTTTACTTACACGTTGTACAGCTTTCAATCATAATTCCCCTGCTATAGCATTATTAACGAAATTGCTAAATCCCCTCTGACAAAAGTTCATGTTAGAATGAGCAAGTATGATAAATATAAACAAATACTACAAATACCTTTAATTTTTTCAGCTGCCCATAAATGACCGGCTGTTTCTAGGACCCAGGCCTCCTTAGCATCTGCAATTAGAAACGAATTGTGATACGTGAAATCGGGATCCGTATCAGAGCAAGGTCCACCCTGTCCGTGCTTCTCAAGAAGAGTAGTGATTATAGTGACAGCCTCATCCGCTGACTTCGCTCTTTCTAAACCAAGCCTGCACAATCAGTTAATGAAGCATTTTAATCTTTTGAACAAAGGAAGGAGTAACAAGGGAAGAATTCTCCAAGAGGCAAAAATCTACTTACCATCAATAACACTTTCACTATTGAAGCCTTGTGTACCTCAAGGGTGCAGAAAAATCTTAGCCTTCCCCAATATATAATTTGCTTTCCTCAAAATTTGCTGTATTTCTATAATTGCGCCTCTGTATAAGACAACGCGCTTAACAGCTTCCTTCCCCAAAAGTAGCTGAAAGACATGCAGCATATAAAACAGCGTGCTTAAAAGTTTCCTTCCCCAAAAGCAACGCGCTTAAAAGTTTCCTTCCCTAAAAGCAGCGCGCTTAAAAGTATCTTCCCCCACAAGCAGGGCGCTTGAAAGACTTCCAGCAAATAAAATAACTTTCTTGAATATTATTAAGCTTAATATCCAAATGCTGATAAGGTGTTTTTACGGAGCATGACAGCAAATTATTTAGATAAGAACAAAGATTCCTGAAATATTTCTTTGATTTCCAAAATTTTCAAAGCAATGATCTTCATCCAACAGAATTTCACTTCATTAAAAGAATGCTGGGTTGTTCGTTTCACACTAAACGCAAAATCTTCTGTCGCAACTTATAAGCATTTCTTAAAAATACCAGTCCTTTGGTGACTTTGTTTTTTGGCGACGGTTATAATTAATTTTGCTCATCAGCTGAATTTATGGATACTGAAAGTTATACCTGACAAGATCCATCCCTAGGAGTTTCTCCTCAGCATCTTTTGAGGATTGAAGTTTGGTGTAGACAGCTTCGTTGCCAATCACAACTCCTGCTTCATTGGCTCCCATCTCTGCTCCCCACATCCACGCTGGTTTGCTCAAGATTACTCCTTGAGTTGCTTCTGCTTGCTCAATTTCGATGTAGGTACACTGCAGGCAAGATAAATAACTAAGTAACACTAACATTGACTATGTTGTAGCATAACCTAAGCAGAGAATACAACTGACCTTTAAATTAAGCAGTACTTTATATCTGTTTTGGGGGTAGGAGGGGGCTAATGATTCATGATTCTGTACTTAGTTATATATAATGGATGGCCAATGTGCGAAACTGAATATTTCCGTTTGAATTGTTGCAAGTCTTTTTGTCATACTTCATTTATTTTTTGGAAAACTAGTCGATGTAATTTTTTGAGAACTTTCTTGATTTTTCTTCTCTGTAAGCAAAATACCACCTGTAAATTTCAAGCTACAGAGTTGGCTTGTTCCTCTTCGGAATAATAAAATGGGCGCAGAAATTTTGAAACACCACAATGAAGATAGGTGGTTTTGCACTTTGCTCATTGAATTTTTGTTGTAGGAGATGGGAGGGTAAGAGAAAGGAAAAAATCTGTCAGGTTTATAAGGTTTCTAACTTTCTAAAAGTTTCGAACTTTAGTTAAAAACTTAAGAGTTTACTTTAGTTCATAGTTCCCATATCCATCAAGTAAATTTAGCAACAAAGCTGAGCACAGCCGGCAAGAAAATTATAGGGAATGGAATGAAGACAGGAGCTTTCATCCTGTGTTGACACTCCAACCACACCACTAAATTTTCTAGTACACTATAGTTAGATATGAGTGGGAAAATACTTAACAATTATGAAAAAAAATGCTATTTTTCGTTTCAGAACACACTTAAAGAGGACCTTACTTACCATAACTTTGCTACCAGCAGGATATGACTCAGGTTTTTGATAGATTAGTTCCTGGACTTCACCTTTAGGGCGGTCAGAATTTTTGCCAAAAATAATCCCTCCATGAGCAGTTAATGGAGGTAAAACTACAAAAGTATCACAGCTTACAAGGGCCATTCTTCAATTTCTGGGGAAAAAATGTACATTATATGGGTAATTAATTTTTTATCGTGCTTGATGATTCTAATGCTTCTTTCATTGATTTAATAACCATTTTAACAAAATGTGCAACTGATTTCCACGGCCAGAATATAAGGGCAGAATTTAAGGGCACAGTAGAGAAATTCTATAAGTAAAAGTACTCAACATGAAAGTAAAAACCTTCATGTTCCCATATTTTGGTCATACCATTCGTGGCAAGTTGAGCAGTTCATCTAGCAGGTACGTCACTGCTGTATGTGAGGGGCTTGACGCTTGGAGGACAAGGCATATAAGTGCAGTTTTTGAAAAAATTGAGATATAAATTATTTCAAGTAAAACTAATCTTAATGCAAGTTTTATGTTAAATTTACTCCCAAATTCCAATTTTTCAGCATCGAAGTCAGTTGGCACTTTCTTCCCACCTTGAGGATCGACGTAATTTCCAAACTTTTAACAAGTATTTCTCGAAATAGCAAAACCTGCACTTATGCGCCTTGTCCTCCAAGCCCCTCGTGTCTGGCTTGTGAAACAAATTGCTTGCGACATGAGACAACCAATCTCCTAGTGGAGTGGTGCAACCTCGAAAGATAGGTTTTCATCAGCAGGTTGAAAATGTTGATGTGCAAGATATTAATAATAATTTGACCCCGCCTCAATTGACTGATGAAAAGTCAAGCGGTATATTACAGAAACAATCAAATGAATGGGCACATGCTAACAATCAGATTGTATGATATAAAAGGCCTTTGACCTATAGCGTCCTGATCATCAGCAGGATTTTGAAATTGTCTTCGTTGAGGCAACGCTAATACACCGTCCTGCAAGTTGAAGTTTAGAGGGTGCATGGACACTTGGAATTAGGAGAACTTTACTCCCAGCCTAATGGCTGTCTAAACAGGTGGTTCTTGGGGAAATGATGAGAAAAGCTGCAGTCAAGTAATCCTTCAAGACCTGTCAAGCGGAACAATCATAGACCAGCTAACAAACCTTGGTAAAAGTAAAAAAAAAGATAGGCTTGAGCAAAAATGCAAACGGACTAAACAGACTGTTGCGTTGACTGGAAGAGAACGCCGGATTTTTCATGAGGACAAGAGTACTTACTCGATTGAAGAGCCGGATTATGGGACTGAACAATTGACAGATACAACACAACCCTCAGACACAGACGGACTGAAGTAACACAAATGCTGAGTGATAACAGGCTTGAAGAACGCTAACTTTTTGTTAAGATGAAACTGGAGTAATTACCTACGTTTCTAATTACGGAGGAGACACGGGGAAAAAATTATTTAGATGTGTGAGGACAGCCCGGACAGAAAAATTTCAGAGGAGCTCAGCCAGAATTATAGGCTTGTGACCGCGATCGCAGTAGCAGGTAAAAATCACTGTGATTCTTGAGTAGCAGTGATCGATCACTGTGACTGGCGAGGAACACCTGTTATTCTGCTCTTTTTTGGGCAGTTTTCATCAAAAGTTAGTCGCTGATAGTTAAACAGTGAGAAACCAAAACTTTAGTGTTAAACGGCGAAAAAAATTTACGAATAAGCTTGCACATGGTTAATCATAGTCACAGTTGGATACACTGCGATTGCGATAACGAAGCAAAAAGAGCAGTAGCAGTTTAAAAAGAGCAGCATGATAACAGTGGCAGAGCAGAGTAGCACCATAGGACTAGATAGGGCGGATAGCCAATCACGTGAAATCTCCGAATATTACAATGCATTGTGGGTAGTGACGTCAACCAGTGATAAATCACAGGTGAAAGTAGCAGTGAATCCAATAGTGAACCCANTCAAGGCGGATAAAGAATGGTGGTCGCATTTCGTACCCTCTGGACGTCACACGGTATCGGGTACATCGGGTACATGGGCTGGCCGAGGCCGGGGGGGCCGACTCAACCTCGGATTGCACGGCATAACCCGTACCCTCCTGACGTCACAACGCTTCAAGATGGCAGCCAAAATCGAAATGCGACCACCATTCTTTATCCGCCTTGGTGCCAATTAGTAAATAATGCAGACGCAATGTTGCGTAAGTGTCTACAAAATAAGGATTTATCCACAACTCCGCACTTCGAGAAATTCGTGAAATTGAAGTTAATTCAGGAAAAATTTATTGCATCCACGGCCTTCTGGCTTACAAGAACAAAATAAGTGCTGGACGGAAAACTTTTTCGATTGATAAATGGAATGGAAACAGGGTAAAAGGTTGATGACGGCGCAAATACAACTATTCGTGCTTGATGAATGCCCGTGTTGCATCTGCAAAATTGAAGGCGCGATTGCTTAAGGTATAAAGCTCGAAATGGTCCGATTTGTGCTGCCAGCGATTTCGCTTTGGGGCGGACGGCTTAAAAAACAAGGCCAGTATAAGTCTTTCCTATTTTCAGCCGTGTTGTTCCATTTTTTCTCTTTCAATTAGGTGTCAGATCTCTTTTTATGATGTATTTGCAGACCTTTATCCTTTATCTGAAGCTCCAATGTAATGGTCCAATAGCCCGCTAGTCACATGTTTCGGGCGAGCCTTCAGTCAATTTGACCCGGCACGGGCACCTAGGGGTTAAATAAAAATGTATAGGAAGTTTTGTCCCGAATCCCAAGCCCAACTTGACATGAGATGGTGGGTAGAAAAATGTAGAGAGATCGCCTATATAAGAGTGAAGCTACATTATCTTGTTTGGAACGTTAGTCTTCCTGTGCTTGTCATAATTTATTTTTTCTTTGGAAAACTAAGTAGTTATTAACGAAAGTCCTTGAAAAATTCCTTAATTCTTCTTCTTGGATAGCAGAATATTCTGTCGAGCTGTAAAGTTGACTTGTTTCTCCTCGAAAAACAAAATAGGGGAGGAAGTTTTTGACCACCGTAACAGATGCGTTGTTTCACACTTCGGCCATCAAGCTTTAGTGCAAGTCTTGATCATAGACTAGGTATCTCATAAATTTCCTAACTAAAATTTACCAACTGTAGGCATACAAAATAACCTTTTCCTTCCTTACTTTAAAGTTCCTCATTAGTCTCAAATTCGGTGCTTCAGTTTATAGAAAACAATAAATTCTCAAGTTGGAACAAAAACTAAATTAATCTTTTTTGACACTTAGTTTTCAAACTCGGTTTCATTATTTTCTTTTAAATAATACAGAATATTGCGACTTCAATATAAAACTATTTTTACCAATATTGAAAAATCATGATTCAAACTGCATCAGGTTTAAATTGGCATTGAATAGAAACTTCAAACAAGTCTCTTTAGGGTCTTCATTTTCTTACTGGTGCCGTTCTTACAACTACCACCTCATTCATTAATATAGTGAAGAGTCATGCCATTTTGAAAATTCCAACGTACAAATTCTACTGCCCTTATAGGCAAGTTTTCCTGAGGTTGAAACCTTCAGAGAAAGGCATGTCAGAAGTACAGAAACAATATATAAAAGTTTGAGGATCTGAGGATGGGAGAAAGCCATTTTATCATCTATTTCTTAATCCCTTTGCTATGCATGTATTACATCTTTCACTATTGCCATGAAAAGGCCAGTTGATGACTGCCAAGACCCCCCCCCCCTTTAATACAATGGATATTTCTTGTTGTTAGGAACATGTCCCGAAAACAAAATATGAATGAAATATGGGAAGAAAATACTGGAAAATGGTGTAAAAATTTATTCACGCATAAAAAAGAAATTCGAATAAAACAAAGAATAGACAGTTGTGAAATGTACACTGATCTTAACCACATATTTCATACAAGTCTCGAAGGTAGCCATCATTTTCAGAAATAAAGTGTGGTTCACTAAGCATGACTGCAGAAATTCTTCATCGACATCATGGTTGAAGAAATTGGAAAGAAAAAGATGAATCTTGGAAGTATGTGGACGAGCAAATGCACTATCTCATCAGATGAGAAGAGAACTGCCTTGGTGCATAAATAATGGAGAGTTTTTAAATTTTATAACAGAGTTGGAAAAATGTATAATTTTAGAAAAAGTTCCGTAAAAAACCCTGAAAAACTGAGGGAAAGAAAGATCTTTGGAAGAGCAAGGAAAAGGTGCCATCAAACTTGCTCACATGGACCCCGAAACAAAGTGTAAGTGCTTAACTACTATTGTCTGTGAAGAGCCCCACTGGAAGTAAAATTACTCCCATTGGAAAAGTTGGCATAACTGCAGGGCAAAAAAAAAGTTCACTGAGAAAACTGAGCTGCCTTCAGTAGGAAACTGTTAAAAAAAATGGTGATTATGCGTGATGAAACAAAATAAACTCCAATGAGAAACAGATATTTCAGATTTCTTACTTGAAAACTTCAAGAGACAGAGATGGACTATCAACTGAAGATCACATACTAAGTACTGCGCTCTTGAGATGAAAGAGTTTTAAAGGGGAAGAGGCAATTTGTAGCATTAAATAAAGTTAGAATTGGAGAGATCTCATAGATATGAAATCTAACACAACAGAGTTTTTAATCACAGTTTAATGAATTACTGTGCAAGCAGTTGATGGGCTCATTGAAATTAAAGACGATCATGTTCTAGAACATGGAAAGCTAGAGGGTAAATTAAGCCATTTTAAAAGTTGGCTGAACTATAAACAAACTTTAAACCTAAGTAACCGGAACTGTAATGGATACAAATTAACAGTCGATTATTCAAAATGAAAAAATGAAGGGGAAAGAAATATCTGCAATATAATACTCTAGCTTCATCACTGTCTCCTAAAGTTTACTTATGATCATGAAATCTATATGCTTTCCAATGTGAGAGAACACAGGGGAAAAGTGGTCATAAACCTGAGAATTAACTGGTTATTTTATCCACACAAGAAGGACATGGTAAAGCCTGAGGAATGAAAGAAAAAAAAAATTTATAGATTTAAAAACAAAATTTAGAGGGAAGAAATCGAGTTAAACCATGAGTTTGGTTCTCCACACAGTTCTCCCCTTGGATCACTTGGTGCAAGTTGCACACATGCGAAAAAACTGGCGAGTGGAGACAGGGCTTTCATATTTAATATTTAAGAAGAGATTTTCTAAAGGTTCCGTAAACCTTACTGCCGCTCAAAAGACAACAATGTAAACGACTGAAAATGAGTACGGAAAGGATGGCTTTACATATATGTAATGACACTGGTTTAAGGCCAAATTAACAAATGATTACACTTACTTAACTTCAGAATCAAAGGCTTGGATAAAAGTTTAAAAAAAAGAAAAATTAAGAAAAAACTAAATACAAGTACAACTATTTAGAAGTGAGGAAAAGCGGAGACATATGTCCAGAAACACACTTTTCTGATCATTCTGCGCTTTTTCTTTCGCGGAGCTATACAAAAAACAAGGTTGGAAATGGAATTGGTGTTAAGTTTATCACTGTTACTCTTCTAGGTCAGGAAGATCTTCGTCATCTGAGTCTTCGTCATCCATTCCTTCGAATGAAGGTTTGTCGTCACCTCCACCCATACCTCCCATTCCACCCATCGATCGCATTAGCTGAAAGAAAGAAAATTACAAAATAAAATTAAGCTATTAACTATATTTAAAAACTCCTACTCACCATAGGTCGGAGGGAAATGCAATCATTACAATGTATCAGAAAAGATCCAAAGAACCAAAATCAGCTAGTGCCAAATTTCATTTGGCAATCTAATTTTTGTATGAAAACGTTGGAGTGGATTCCTTCAAAAATTTTATAGAATATGCTTTGCACTATGCGAGAAATTCACTAAAATTTGCACAAAATCTGCACTATCGTTTTCATGTAAAAAATTAAATTGTCCAATTAAATTTGGCAATGGCTGATTTGGCTTGGTTCCTTTTTGCTTAATGCAGTCCAAATGCGACGAGAATTTTGACTACCGTCAACACTTCTGTAGAGGTATGAGGTGTTTCCTAAAAAGATTTGATGACAGAATTCCTTTAGAAGGATTTCCATCTGGAATTTTGATTGAGTCTGTGAGAAATCATATGTTTTAAGCATTTGTCTCAGGCACAAACTGGGACTCTCAAACTGCCACTAATTCTTAAATTTCTCAGCCATATCTGTGCAGAAAATTTCAAGATCTGATCTAAAATGTGTCTTGAACGCATCAGATACCTTCAAGCATCAAGTTTAACGATCTTAGAAAGGAATCTGTTAAAAATTCCATCAATGTGCCTCTTTGAAGCCTCTAGTCTGTGCATGGAACGGGTGCTTTAAAAAGTAGTTATCATGGGAAATAATGTTGGTGGGAACATTTGCTGGCACAATGAGGTCTCCTTATTAGAAAAAACCAAAATATGGAATATACTTACATCATCAAAGCCTCCTCCTTCCATGCCTTCCATGTCGTCTTCACTATCATCCTCATCCTTCCATTTGTTGAAATCGACCTTTAACCAATGATACTTATTCTTTTCTTTCGTCAAATGGGGCCAGTATGGTCCTTTGTCTTCTTTCTTCTTAAGCACTAATTCAATTTGTCGTTCACGAACGTGCTTCACTGATTTCTGAAATCAATCAAGTTACCGTTAAAAAATAAAGTAACTAGCTCTTGGTGTTATACTAATTCAACAGCCAAGATGATAGTAGGTCGATGGTTGAATGGTTAACTAGAAAGTAAAACAGGAGGTCTACAAACTTGGAGAAAAAAAATTCTCTGACCAAAATTATCAAAAATTCCTTACTTTTCACATCAAAAATTCGGTGCAAAGAACTGAAAATGAACAATTTTTTACAATAATTTCACTATAAATGATGTAAACATAAAAGTAACCAGATCCAAAAGAATACTCCCCGACTGTTGCTACTACGCGCAGTGGCTAAGTGGCCTTTGCACTAGCTTTACTCAATAAACGTAGGATTCACTGCTCAAATTTCAGTCCAAGCAATGGATGAGCGGTCTGAAGCATCACAAAATCATCTGACATGCGAGTTCAATCCCCGTCACTTGGATAAGATAATAAAACTATGTAAATAAATTACTGTTGCTTCCTGCAATGGTTCATTTATCGATCGTTGAAAAACGCTTCCTAGTGATTTCAAATTTTCTTTCTTTCTTTATCACAAAAATCATTCGGCTCTAGAGAGGAAAATGTACCTCACATCATAAATATTTGGAGGAAAGAAATAAAAATAGAATTGATTTCTCATTGATAAGAATCGAAAAGAGAAAAATCAGAATCAGAAGTTTATTTATGAAAAAAAATAAAAAAAATTATATAGAAGAAAAAAAAAGTAATCAATATTGAAACTTAGCAAAAAAAATGTAATTAAAATGCCTGTAATTTTTCATCATTTCTTGCCTGAGGATAGAAACTTTTCAATCATGCAATTGCAGCCACATGAAAAACCGAGTAACCGATTTGAAATACGGGATGGCTAGGAACTTTCAGCATCACTGCACAAAACCCTCTATACCGCTGAAGGTGTGAAAAAATCATAAAAAGCAGAACTTCCTCCTTCATTAGAGCTGTGATAGGAAATAACTTGATCATTAGTTTCATAATTCGAAAGAGATAACTTACTTCTGGATCTATTTCTTTATATAGTGGAACTGTGACTTCATATAATTTCTTCTCCACGCCACCTACACTTTTGAAATAAAATTTGTCTTCTTCGATCTTAATGTCTGGATCTTTGCAGTCTTCTACATTTATTGTTACAAAAACAACACCGGATCGCTGAGCCCAAATAATGGGTGGGGGAATTGCTCTGAAAAGAAAAAAAAATTCGAACATTAAAATTGACTCGGATGATGGGTTAGCTGCCATGGTCATAGAATCATGTTTTGATTGAGGAGCTCTCTGAGATTTGCTGCCTTTAATTCCTCCGAGGTCTTGGTCGGCAACACCAAGCGATGCAAAAGAAACTTAGGGATTCAAGGGCGTAAGAACTTTAGAGGACCAAGAAAGGATCTGAGCGTATGATTAGATCTACAAGGCATAAAAATTGTAATATTGAGCCATGAAAACTGGGCAATCAAATTAGGAAAAGTCTACAAAATAATTGATACTGGCACGGCACATGTCCCTTCCTGTCCTTAAGAGTGGTAAGGAATGATCAGATAATCAGGAACATCAGGTTCTTGCTTAACGTTCAGTGCAGCGCAAAATCAGAACTTTAGTTGACTGAATAACATTGTTCTGGGTTTCATCCGAAATTGTTAGGCCTCAGTAAATGCAAGTAATGGACAAGCATGGCATGATTAGGAGGCATGGTATTACTTCATCCTGGAGTGATGTTGGTGAGGGGGATAATGGGCGACGAAAGAATGGAGCTAAAGTAGAAAATATGGTCAACCATTACTTGGAAGGGAAATATATGCTCATTCAAGCGAATAATGAAAGAAACGTGCAAGTCTCATGCCGTTAATCGATAAAGAATTGACCGGCCAAAGGCAGGAAACGAACATGGCGACTCGGATATAAACAACGTCCGAACATCAGAAAATATCACAAAAAGAAAGGAAGTATGAGATAATGGACTGAAATACTTACGCCTCTTCTTTCGACATGTTAACTAGTGGACAATAAGAGATAAGAAACTAGTAAAATTTCAGTGAATTCAACGTGAGCTTTCCTAAGATTGCGGCACAACAACGCACGGCTTCTAAAAATCCAATTGCCTTTTTCTTGAATCATCTACCGGTGTTGCCGCCTATTAGGTATTATTACGTCATTGGTGTTGGCACCGGTTTTCGACATCAACCATCGGCGTTCAAAAACAGACCCGCGCAATTTCATCCCATTAAGGGTGGAACTACTACGTATGCACCTCGATTTGCGACGTTGCACGCTTTGCATCATTCTTTTATGAAATGGTGATTTATCCTGATTATATCTGAATCCTTTCATTAACCTAGAATCCCACACAAAATATTCTGTGTTGCAGAGCCGGATTTAGGGGAGGGCCAACAACGGTGCTATGGCATCGGGCGGCAAATTTCGGATTTTCTTTTTTTTTCATAACTAGAAAATAAGAGGAAAGAGACATTGAAAGAGAGAGAAAAACTGAGGAAAAAACAATTGGGTGAATATCTGGAGCTTACAATGTGAAACTCTCTATCTTAGACCTCAATTTTTTTTCGAAAACATGAGTAAGTACATTCATGACCGAAGTGCGAAACCACGAATCTTCGTCTACAACGTTGCAGACTTCCTGTAATAGGTACTTAGTTGAGGGGCTTGAAGGACAGTGCGGATATAAAAGCAGTTTTCGAAAAAATTGAGATATTAATGATTTCAAGTAAAACTATTCCTAGTAATGCATATTCTGTGAAAGATTCGCTCCCAACTTTCGAATTTTAAACATAAAAAAATCGGTTAAGAATCTTTGTAATTTCGAAACTTCAAAGTCAAACACGTATTTCTCGAATTAGCGGAAACTGCACTTAGACGCTTTGTCTTGCAAGCCTCTCATTTATTCTTGGGAGAAGTATAGTCAATGTATATTTGCTCGAAAACTCTCTTGAAATTTTGAATCTGTAAGCAGAATAGGTATTCTGTATGATTATGAATCTCAAGCTATAAAGTTTGCTTGTTTCTCATGATCAGGGCCGGATTTAGGGGGTGGCTACATGGGGCGCGGCCCATGGCGGCAAATCTAGGGGGCGGCAAATTTTGCAATTTTTTTAAATGTAGGTATAAAAAAAATCAGATTCCAAAAAATAAAAATACAAACGAAGAGAAGGCGACAAAATCTCAAATTTCCTGAGAGTATAGTAATTTATAATTTTGTCGTCTTTCGGTGATACAAAAGACAGCACCTTTAATAAGTCGAGTTAAGAGAAACCAAACACGCAATTTGCCCTGGAGCAGCGCGGCGCAGAGAGCAATGATGAGAACTTGAGATGAATAGGAGAAGCCCTCGGCGCAGCGGCCGGCATGTAAAGCATATTAGCGCCTACACGACTGCATGAATACTTCACGCATTGCGGCAAACACAGTGCGGTCAGCAACGGTCGACGCGACGTGAGATGCATAGCGCCTACAAGACTACATGAATGCTTCACGCATTGCGTCAAACACAGTGCGGTCAGCTTGGCGCGGCGGAAGTTAAAATTATTAAACCACATTTATGTTGGTTCTTTCATAATTTTTTTGTTAATTTCTTATACCTGGAAGGCCTTGTCCTCACAGTGATAGGTTTACGAAACTTAACTTTCGCACAAAGTTCCGTGAACTTTACACAGAAAAAAATAGATGGTGCTGACGACAGAACCTTTTGTTCACACGGCTCCCGCAGTTTCTTTGTTACAGTCACTGAAGCTTTCGTTATGAGGACAGAATACTCTGTTCCCACGACCGAAGTTCTGTCCTCACAACAGAAAAATCCTGTAAGTGTAACAAAGAAACTGCGGGAGCCGTGTGAACAAAAGGTTCTGTCGTCAGCACCATCTATTTTTTTCTGTGTAGCTAGTAGAGCTGACAGGGCTTTCGCAAAAAATGTGTCCAACACGAGTAAACGCTTCTTATGCACCCCTCTTCCTCCGGCACGTTCACTTGATGTTTCAAAACGAATGAGAAGGGGGCGGCAAAATACAGGCGGTCCATGAGCGGCAAGTCGGTAAATCCGGTCCTGCTCATGAGATTTTTCAGTGTCAACTGATATCGAACCAAATCCATCGTATAAAACTAGAAAACTGATGGTTTCAGAGGCCAGAAATACTGTGAATTGTGAATGCATAGTATACCTACGTTATTCGTTGACGCACCCACAAGAAATCTAAATTTTATTCATTTGGGGACGTCCGGAACTTATCAATATCGCGCCAGAGAAGAAAAAGAGGAAATATAAAGTAGGCCGCTCAAGATGATGCTTGCAAAGTCCACTCGTTTAACAATTCGTAATATCTCTTCCGAATAAATTGTGAACACCAAAAATAACACTGACCTAATTTGAAGTTGAATGCGAATAGGCACCGTGTGGTTAGTGGTTATCTTCGTGCTCCTTTTTACTAATGTAGTTCCATTGGAATTATTTCTCAATTTGTTTTACATCGATTAATTTTGTAGAAAACACGTAATCCGGGTCATTTTGGTCCTATGCACGGAGTGGCATTGAAAGCTATCCTCAGTGGGGATCAAAACGCCTTCAAAATGGCAGTATGTGATTTATCCTACACGCCGACTGTACGCATAGCCTACAACAGTGCAGGAGTTTTGCACATCTGGACACTTTCGCCTTCGGCGTTCAGTTTCTAACGTTATCTAACAACGAGAAGAGTAGAAATTAACAATATCCACAAGTTCTCTCAGAAATCAATATCTTATTACCGAAAATTTTGCAACTAAAGGATTTTCATACAGCGTCTTTAATAGACAAAGTGACCGTCGCGTCGTAAATATAACGGAATAACTAGACGCAGCCCACATTTCACAGGGGAGAAAGCAGGACAATTGAGTAGTCGTCACTCACATATGTACCAGACTTTATTCATCGAGTGCTATACAGTTTTGCCATTGCACCTAAGAAATCAAATATTACGCGTGTATTTTGCGGCCTGTGGTGTTACAAACTTCCCATCCATTTCATTTTGTTGTAAGACTGAAGGTCGTCCTATTTGGTTCCGAAGCCCGTGCGATTCATAACTATTTTCCTTTTAAAATTTCGCTTATCTACATAACATGCTCAAGTATCTAATTTTTTGCGATTTCGAGCGCCGGCAACGTTTTAATAAAATTAAATAATACATTTCTCTGAAAATTGACAATGTGGCGATAACAATCAGTAATGGTTTACTTAATCGGTACAATAGGCAACACTGGAATTAATTTAAGTTGTTAGATAAAAAATCGGAGCTTCAGTTAGTGTTGCATGCAACGGATACCAAACTAATTTCATTTTAACACTTGGGTGCAGCTATTCGAGCTCCATAAATGTGCGTGTTGCATACGCACAAAAGTGAAGGCGTTTTGACTTCAGACGCTCACCGTCTCACCAGCAGCGTAGCGGCACTCAGTGGAGCGAGTCGATCAAAATAAAAGCTCATATCGATGCTCGTATCAAACTTAGAGGTTATAGAGGTGGTTCCGTTGTTTTTATCGTGCAATTTTTCTTCCAGAGACATCTCAAAAAATTTAAAATTTAAAGAAATTAACATCAAATGCGCCAAAATAAAAAAAAAAAAATTGTCGACAATTGTCGGTTCAGCCTCCCTGAGAGACTTGTTTCATTGTGCGGAGGGCTTTACTCCGGCGCGTTGGCGCATATTCAGTAGAGTTATTACTATTTCGAGAAATACGTGTTTGAAGTTTCGAGATTAAGTAAATGGATCCTTATGACGGAAAGAAAGTTTAAACTGACTTTTTAATGCTTGAATATTGTAATTTGGAAGCGAATTTCTTACAGAATATGCATTATGACTAGTTATACCTTGAAATCATTAATACCTCCGTTTTTTCTCAAAAACTACACTTATGGCACTTTGTCTTCCAAGCCCCTCATTTACACTTTGGAGATGTCTTTTTAAACATAAATAATTGCTCTACAAATCATGCCCAGCACATCACGATATCAAAACTGAAGCACATAAGATACTCACATCCTACACGCTTGTATGCACCCTTTCGTGCCTCGAGATATCTTTGTGGTACAAACGAAGAATTGAAAGCGCTCTGCCATTTTGGATCCTCGCAGTAAATCCCGCCGTTGGCATGGCGCCGCGGGTGAAGTGGTGACTTGTTGAGTGCCTGGAGAGTCAAAACGCCTTCAACTCAGTGCGTATGCAACACGGACGTCCATGGAGTCCGTCCAAGCGTCCAATGCAGTCCAAATATAAAGCATGTGGAAAATATCGACGATGGAACTCCCACACGACACATCTCGGTTTGCGAAGTTGCAAACTTCCTGCCGTATTTTATTTTTTAAATGGAACACTACTCGACGACTATTTTTAAAAATTACCATGATTTTTCTTCTCTGCACGAGGAAAATTCTGTGTCAACTTCAAGGAATAATGTTGATTCGTTCACCTGTATAAAAGAATATAATGGGAGCGGAGATGTTTAAACACCGCAACCCAGTACGTGGTTTAAAGGTTTCACCGTCGATATGTCTTCAGTTACTGATTGCTTCAGGATCATCGACTCGGAGCATCAGTTGATTGAGTTTATAAAACAAAACAAAAAAAACAAAAAAAAAACGAATCAATGATGAAGTATTGAAAGAAAGCCGGCCTTTTTATGGCTAATAAAGCTAAATACTCATCGTCGCCGGCAGTGAAGCGTGGATGATCGACCATCGATATTTCCCCATTTGAAGCTATGGTAAAGAATCGATTATTAAGGTGATCGATGCGAACACCCTGTTAATCGCGTATACTTTGCGATATATAGAGATTGATCTGCTATTTAAACCTATGGAAAAGGATCGATAAACAGGGTGTTCGCATCGATCACCTAACTAATCGATTCTTTACCATAGCTTTAAATGGGGAAATATCGATAGTAGATCATCACCTCTTTATCGATCCTTTTCCATAGGTTTAAATGGCAGATCAATCTCTGTATATCGCAAAGTATGCCACGCGCCACCGATCGTCGCTTAGCCGACATAAGAGCGTAATTACACTTTGAGATGAGCCTAAGGAAGCTCTGAATACTTCGAAGGCCAAAGTGTGGAACCGCGTATCTCCATTGCCATTGCGGTGTTTCA